GATCTCGTTAGTCCAGAATAACTGCCCAGAGGCGTTACCAAGATGGCTGCTGAGTCCCAGGAGCTGCCTATATAAGGATTTTGCTGTAGCTTTATATGTACCATACAGACAGAGTCTCACCTTATTCTGTGCAAGAACACAGACAAGCATATTTCCCAAAAATGTGGAACTTTTACTTTAAACTGATCTCCACCTTCTCATCGCCATCCTCAGCAGCAATGTGACTTTAGTGAATCTTTTTAATGTTACAGTTCACCGTCATGCAAACAGTGAAGAGAAGAAATAACGCTCTCTGGGAACATTTACCATAGAACACCTGCCTCAAATCCCTCGCTTAAAATATCAGAGAGAAAGATGGGTGCTTTTATGTTGTGCAAACATCCATCAGCTACATGTGTTTTTTTCACAATCAATGTCACCATTTACTCGATTAACACAGCTGAGATTACAGCCACACAGTTCTCATGGCTGTAACCTGCCACACACAAGGCAAACACAGAGGCAGAGGCATGCAGAAAATTACAAATGGAAACACACATGAGCTGTCCATCTGATGATTATATCTGGCAGCTCAGCCAACAGGTTCTCTTATTTGCACAGCTGGACAGAGAAAGTGGTGATATAGGACGTTGATGGTAGTTAGACAAGCTGTCACAAAAGATGCTGCCTTAGAAGCTTTCAGATATGATCTGGGTTCAGCTCAACAGTATGTCGTGCAGACTCAACAGGTACACCTGAGTCTGAATCTACATTTTTCAAAATATTATCGAAATTGAAGGAGCTGCAATTTGTTGTTAAGAAGGTCAAATGTGTTACAATGTACATTTATGAATGAAGCACTGTGGTGCTACAGAGATGCCGTGGCCTTATTCTCCAGAAGTAAGGGAACATGCTTGTTTGAGACACTTTTTTTCAGACTCCCCCTTAAAATGTCAGCACAGGATCAAGCAAAGAGCACAGTGTTACTTCATAAGACTGAAGTATGTAAGTAATGCCAGCACATACCAGCAGTGCAGGATGCGTCTTGTAGCTATGTGATATATGTGAGCTCGCACACCGGTGCCATCTTGACAAGCCTCATTATCAGCTGATGCAACAGGATATGAAACTGACTTATTCCACAGTGTTAATGAGCGTAAACTCTGCAGAAAGCTGCAATTTCATCACATTCACTTCACTTACACATACATGCCACTGTATCTTGATAACTTCTTGTGTCTGTGTGGGGTGTCTGGTGTGTGCTCAGGGATGCAATAAACGTGGGTCAAATGATGCTGCACGGCGTGGCTGTAGCATGTTGCATATAAAAGGAAAAGTATGGTTTATCAGAACTTGTGTGTTTTGGTAGCTCTGGCCATCAATTCTATCAGTTATGACAAGATCGTATTCACTTAGGTAATTGCTGAGATCCGGGAACACTGTCAAATTGCTAAAAATAGTTCAGTCAAGGAAACAAACACAAGCTGTTAGGTGGTATTAAACAATTAGCTAAACTTGGAGGAAAAAACAAAAGGCAAATGGTAAGATCATTACCAAAACAGTCTGTTGTGAACATCCATCCAGTTGTGTACACTCTGCACAATAAGGGATTATTAGCGACATTATTGGTGCATACACTTTAGGTTTCAAATGAAGTGGTAGCTAATCTGACTAATCCTCTCAATGCCCAGGTTAGTTTCCTTGTTAGACCTTTAATGTCGCCAAGTTTGTGTTTCTACCTTATTTTACAGTGACAGTAGAGAGAGACAGGAAAGGCAGGGAGGGGATGACATACAGCAAAGACTCAGCGTTGACACAGGTGAGCTACTGAGGCGCCGTTTGGTCATGATGCAAACAAACAAAAACAAAAAATAACTAAACCAGAGTCATAAGAAATAGTAATTTTCCTTTAAGCTCAGGCACAGATTTGGATTTGATGTCCCTACCAATGTCAAGGTGGAGCGAAATCGTCCCTGCTGATATTTTTACCAGTCTTAAACGGACTTGTCATTCACACACAGTGTGCAGAGTTGCAGGTGCAAGCAATGCGGAGTTGCCAGATTTGTGTATTTTCTGCGAAAAGTGGGCTGTTTTGATGAAAACCGAAAGAGCGAAATACTCTGCACTCTGTGTGTGAATGACAAGATCGATTCCTAATGATCTGGCAACCCATTGTACTACGCTGTCAGATAGCTGCAGTTGTTTGAAGTCGTTAGTCAAACGTTTCAAACATTGTAGAATGAATAAATGGGCTTTTTTTGATGTAACTACCAACAGTCAGTTGATTATTCTAAAACGTAGGTGTCAGGTGTTGTCATCTTTGACAGTAGTGAAATGTAGGATTACCAGTTAAAGAACTAACATCCCCACTGCTTCCAGAGTGGATCAGCTGTTGAGTTATTTTTGTATGGGCCGTTATATTATGGCTATATTATATATAATGTTGGGCGAATTATCCACAGCTTGTCCAACTGATTATCTTGTCTGTGAATGGAACACATCAATTTATCAGCAAATCAGTTTGACCAGACGGAGACACACAGACAGGTGAGCTGCAGACTCTCAGCTGATCTCTGATGTCAGGCTTTTTTAAGTTAATGTTCATGTTAAAGCTGTGATTTTGCCATGAAGCATCATTTTACTCGCTGCAGCAAACATTTGAGTTGTATCCAAACATAGACTGACAGAAGGACAGAGTTACAGAATATCAGGTGAGGTGTGAAGACGTTTTACAGCCGACACTTGCTTCAAACACAGTTACACATTCCCTACATGTTATTATCCATTTATGTTCTTGCAATTAAGCAGTAAAGTATTTGTTTAAAATCAAAGAAAGAAGACAAGTATAATATAAATATAAGTAAATTCATATTGAATTCGCATATGTATATACAGTACATTATGTTTGTATGAGTGCATACACATACACAACTATGCATATTAGCCATCTGACTATACAATAAAATTTCCTTCCCAAAGTCAATTTGGCAAATCAGAGATGGAAAAAGTCCTCGTAATTTCTTTTAAGCATGTCGTAATTTTAGAGACATTTAACTTTACTGCAGACTTCTTGGAGTGAAGGCCTGTGGAGAAGAGGAATCCTAAGATTTTTAGGCCCACGGCCCAGGATGTACAGCCAAATCCTGTAAATCATCTACAGCACAATTCATTGTAGAGAACTGTGTTGGACTGCATGGCAAGGTTGAACAGTAAGTGTGTGTTTCACCGCTTCCTTCCTCTTTCCATTTTCACAGCCACCTGAAGTTCCCTATATACTCTCCTTGCAAACACTTATTTCCCTTTCTCTCTTCCCGAATTCTCAAACGCTCTCATCTCATCTGCCTCCTTCCTACTTTCTTTGATTCCGTTTTGTCGTTTGATTTCCCACGTTCACAGCTGCTGAGACAAAACAGGAAGATGTGGTTCCCTTTCCCCCCATTATTTCTGTCCCCCCCCCCCCCTTCTCGGCATCCTCTCTGCTGCTGGTTTGATAGCAGGCTGTCACAAGGATTTAATGTCTTCTCAGAAAGTGCTGGCTGCCTCTCGAGGGCCGCAGCCCTGCTGGTGGGTGGCTGGCAGGCAGGGAAATGACAATTGCATTTGCAGGCAAAGGGAGAAACACACATCTCAGGAGAGAGGGTGATAGAGATGCAGAGAGAGGAGCGAAAAAGAGAAAAGAGCACCCCCTCTCCCCGTTGTTTCATCTATCCTTTGATTGGACAGTGATTGTTATATGTGGACCTCATTACAAGCTAGTAAAGGGCAGCGGTACAAACAAATGGTGTAATTACACGACCCTAATATAACACAACGGGAGAAAGCCAGCGGGGGGCTGTCTGCCAGTGTTATTAAATTAACTTTTTTCTGCATTTGTTTTGCCTGTTTGACCGGTATCTGAACTGACACTGACCTAAATTCTTCAGTGTCTGACAGACAGAGGGACGTGCAGGCAGGCAAGCAGTCGATCTGACGTCTAACAGAAAGAGGACAGAGGTCAGGTAGGGGGAACCGACAGCATCACTCAATAAAATAACTTGACAGGAGTTTCAACCCTCCTGGTGTGGTTTGAGTCACAGTGTGTAGCTGCAGAAATGCTCATGGGAACAATAGTGACAAGTCATCTGACACCCAACACCCATGTCCTTCGATCAACTTCTCCCAATACTTTGACCTAATTATTCAACTCCAACCAGAGAGTGCTACATTTTTTATCAGCAAGAAGTCTCTCATGAGAAAAAAAACGTGCTCTTGTTAAAGTTTAATTTAACAAGACAGTCTGCTGTCAGAGGAGGCTGCTGAACATTTGGTGTACAGAAACCAGAAAGTCTGTCTCTCTTTCCTCCGATGTGAAAATATTGTTATTGTTGAGCAAGACTGCAGCCATCCAGATAATCAGCTGGTAATTAACATGCAACAGCGCCATAAGAAGTGTGGGGGGAAACAGCACCAGCAGCAACCCTTCCATCATGAGAAGCAGATGCTGATTGTGGAACAAATCACACCGAACCAGATGTAATTCACATCCTCAGCATCATACCTCCTCTCCAACTGGCTCACAGACAAAATAAAAACACGTATAACGAGACAAGTCACGTCAGCCTTACTGCAACCAGCAATAATTTATGAGACCCCCCCCCCACCTCTTATGTAACACAAAGTATGCTCTGGCTGATTAGCTGTTACTTAACAGGCACAGCTGTGGCGATACAGCGGTGGACAGTGGGAAGAGGTAGCCTCGCGGAAGAGAGAAAATGGATGGCACACGGTGAGGAAGAAAAACCCGTATTCTGCCAAATAAAAGTGTCTCTGATTCTCAGCTGACTGGAGGATCAGCGGCTGAATCACTTATTGGCCACAATATACGAGCGGCTTTTGTGCAACAGTTGTCTGGTCACCTTACACAAAGCGCCTCAGCCCGCTACAGGAGGTGCGCGATGGTTTTGGATTCAATCTATTTATCTGGCTCCATCTGTCTGCGTAGCCTGCAGAGCAAAATAAAAGTTTTCTGGCGTTGCACCTACCTGATATTCCTCCGCCGACCACTATAACATCGTAGGTGTTGCTGGGTGTAGTCATGGTGCTGGCTGGTCTGTCTCTGCCCGGCTCTGCCTTGTCCGCTCGCCGCTGAACGCAGGGCGAGGGGCGCATCTGTATTAAAAGCGCCGGCCAGGCCCACTCCCTCCAGACTCCGCCCACCGATAGTAAGCAGCGCTCTGTTTTGTGGATAGGGAGGATTACTAGGAGGTGTCATGGAATCTCATTTATATGCCCCATTGGACAGTTTTGGACACGCAGTTCACTCCTGATGTTGGCGCAATTATTGTCCGGCCAAAGGTCTTCTCTTATCAAATCAACTGCTGTAAAACGTTTACTCCTGATAGGTTAAATTACTCATTGTGGTCATTAAAGATGTCATGGCACTGATGGTAAAGAGTCCTGACAAAAATTCCCAACCAGGCTTTCTCCATCTGGCCGCTAATCATCCTCGAGTACAAGTGGCTTTATGATTGTTTCGCTCCCTCAACATGATTTGGGGTGAGCGTTCTGGCGCAAATGGCTGCTGTGCACTTTGAGTATCTATGATAAAGCTCTATATAAATGTAATGCATTATTATTAATAAAATTATTATTATTATAAATATTGGGCAAATAATCAATAAAAAGCTCAATTTTTTCTATGCCAAGTAAAGCCATAACTTTCAACCTCTGGCTCTCAGTAACCAGGCCTGTAAAAAAGTTGATAAAGTAGCCTGTTAGAATACAATCTGCCTGTCTGATGACAAAACAATTACAATGAAAGAACTGTCCCTGGTCTGAGAGGTCCCAGAACTGTCTCAGGTCACCTACACTTCAACTCAAACATCAGTTATGGAGGTCAGTAAACAAAAGCTTCTGCCATCTGATACAGCAGGTAGTAATTTATTAACCTTGTCTGTCTCCTGAGTCTGCAGACAAGAACTCAAACGTTTTGTATTTGACACCTGAACTTATAATTTACTCCTGGGCATGGACACTGTTGGGTTTCGGTTGCCCTCTTGTGGTTGGTTGTCCACAGCCAGCCGAGAGCTGATCTTTGCACATGCTGTGTGGTGTACACCTAGCCTGCTGATGTGCTGTTAGCATTTCAGCCAAGTATTGATACATTCAAGCATCTATGGACATCTGTGTTTCTAGACTAACACGGGCAGCAAAGACAGTTTTGCATGTAGATACATTTGCAACATTGATCGAACTTTAACTTAAACTGAGAAATATAAAAAGAGCCTCAGGTCCAGAGTCATACATCGAGAGGGCCAACACAGTCAGCATGCTATGACTTGGTTCACCTTTTACCCAAAAATGTATTTTGCTCTTGGGTTCTTCATCAAATTATCCGTCTGATTTAATAACTGATTCAGTTTGTTACGGCAGAGCTGATCTAGAGAGCTAAAGGTGTGCAGGAAGATGTGATTTACAAACCTCTTTCCAATGCAAATTTTCAAGTGGACTGACATTAAATTACGCCCCCCCTAGTGGGTTAATCTGACTGTGATTGTGGCTAATCCTAATCCTCGTTGGATCTCATTTATGGAATAAGCTACTAAAGTCCCACGCTAGCACATCCCGGTCCTTACAGGACTGGGCCGTGTGGAAGAGACTGGAAAAGAAGGGGGAAGGTGAGCGTGTAGAGTTACCAGTTGACACCTGGACAATCTATTGTAATCCAATACAGCAGCACTGGAATAAATCCTGTTTTTGTCGAGCTCCTTGCCTCAGAGAGATGTTTGTTTAACGTTGTGGTAGTTTCTAAGGCAGTACCTTTTAAGTCTCAGTATTAACTTTCAGTTTTCACAGCTCATGTCAGTAGGAACGTGTACTGTTCTGTAAGTGGTAAGATAATATGCTGCAGACATTATTTTGGCACACACAATACCTTATGGTAAGTTTTATGTGATACAACAATAAGTCTGATATTTGAGGTGTGCTTTCTCCTCCTTCATTTCATTTGTTTCCTTAGTGAGTCTCTAACTGCATCACAAGAACATGATAAGGTACCCCGGCACTTTCTGGTCCGGTGATACAGCCTTTACAATTTAATTTAACTCCAGCTGAGCCTCAATACAAGGCAAGGCAAGTTCATCAATTATAAGTGCTTTATGTAAAACATAAAATGCATCAAGACAAAATGTAAAAGCAACATAAGGAAATATAAAAAGACATTTACATATTAGTAAATGGAGTTAGAAAATAAAAATAGGATAAAACAGGAGAGGGAAATCTGCAGTGCAGTGTAAGGCCCTAAACCATTCAGTGCTTTATAAACCAACAGCAGTATTTTAAAATCAATTCTCTGACAGACAGGAAACCAGTGTAAATACCTCAGTAGACAAGAGTTTACTACATACTACTATATTTAGTTTACAACTAAAATAAAAAATAAAGAACAGATTATTGGCCAAAGAAAACAAAAACAGATTCTGGAGTTTTGCCAGTGCAAGTCAGCCTTTAACAGACTTGAAGGATTTTCCAATATGAATTCCAATAGGATGTGATCGATTAGAGAGTGAGGAGACACAGGGGATTAGGTGACACCAGTGCACGTGTTTTCACATATTATATTGTACTATATTACATACATGGTAAATGAGGTTTAAACAATAACTTATGTGTATACATCTTCTACTCTTAGTATCAGCCCACATCATATACACATCAACAGAACACGCTCAACTTAATTGTTGGACGTGGGACGGCTGTGGCTCAGGAGATAGAGCGGGTTGGTCGTTAATTGGAAGGTCGGCGGTTCAATCCCGGCTCCCCCAGGCTGGATGTTGAAGTGTCCTTTGGCAAGATACTGAACCCTGAATTGCCAGTGTGAATGTTAGTTTCTGTTTGAGCACTTAGAATGGTGAATGCAGATCTAATGTAAAAGCGCTTTGAGTGGTTGAAAAGACTAGAAAGGCGCTATACAAGTGCGGAGAATTTACTTGGTCTCAGCCCCTAAAAGTCTTGGTCTTGTCTCGGTGTCAATAAACTCTGGTCTTGGCCTTTAATAATGACATAATTAATTTGAGATGTCCAGAAAACAAAACATCACATCATTGCAGGTAACATCATTCAGTGTAGCGATGTCATAGGAGCAGGAGAATAATACTATTTAAGAAGACAGTTAGCAAGAAAAGGCTTTATTGGAGTCTTTATTACATTTAATTCAGAGATCTCAAATTAATTATGTCATTATCTCTGGAAAACAAAGTTTTGTAATCTTAAGATCTCCAGGTTCTCTCGGGAAAACAACATTTGCCAGTTTAAGATAATGAAATAAGTAACCCCAGATCTCGAGAAAACAAATTCAGTTAACCCCTTATCACGGGAAAATGGTGTAAATAATATGTACAAATGTGTGGCCTCTTAGGGCTTCCTTACTTTCACATGTTTAAATAATAACAGGTTTATATTTCTTTACTTACATGCTGATAAGCTTACCCTACAGCTGGATAAAAATGTTTTGTGTCTTTCTAATTGGTCTCTAACCGTTTCTGTACACGTCTGCGTCTGCCTGTCTCTAGTTTGTAGTGCTGTTTTAACACTTAAATCGCCCCCTTGTGGATCAACGAAGGCTTGTTGATAATCAGGTGACGAGGTGCATCAGTGGAGGCTAACAGCGGGTCATTCCCAGGTCATCATGGTGACTGACGACGAGGTCTGAGGGAGACGGGTGTACAGGTGAGGGAATATAACACACATGTAGACTGGAGACGGAAGGAGGTGGTACAGACTTCGCCAGATTAATGTGTGTAGGAGGTGAAGTTTAGAAACACAGTTTAGAATAGCTACAGAGCAACACCAGAACACACTAGGCTATCTGTCTTATTTTGTGTGCAAGGTGTCTGTAGATACCTTGGGAGACAAGACAAACAATAGTGTTATGAGGGTATAGAGAAAGTAACACTGTACCTGTCCTGCCTGTTTCCCTAGCAGGTATTAAACCCTCATGGTCACCTTCACTGTGCGATACCCAGACCACGATGGAGGTTGTATTAAACCCAGCTGCAGGTGTGTGTAGTGGGGCTCCTCAGCAGAGGGCAGCAACAACCAGGACAGACTTACAGAGTCAGACTTCAGATAAAGGAAGACACATTTGCTGTATTTTTTCCAGTGGGATCAATATATTCTCTGGGTAAATGAAGACTGAAAACTGAAATAACATGGCCTGGAAGTTCACTCTAAAAGAAAACAGCATGTGTCTGTGGAAAAAGTCAAGTTGAAAGAAGACTTCCCTGGGAAAATGTGTACAGGATGGGGGAATTAAATACTTTCATGTAGAAATGTTTTGCCCTTCCACATTGTAAACACAAATTATGAACCAAGTTTTTCCAGTTGCTGCTGGTTACTAACATTAACACATTGATTATTCAAACTAAGTCCACTGCTGTTAACTCAGTGTGATGCGTGTTGGTCCCTTCTTCTTCAGTTTTTGTCATTGTTTGTAGTTTCAACATAGTAACTGGTAACTGGTACATAGTAACTGGTACCCTGCACTTTCATTCATTTGTCAATTGCACCTCCCTTTATTGTGCATCTATCTATCTATCTATCTATCTATCTATCTATCTATCTATCTATCTATCTATCTATCTATCTATCTATCTATCTATCTATCTATCTATCTATCTATCTATCTATCTATCTATCTACCACAGCACTGAGACTGCCCTGCTTAAAGTCACCAATGACCTTTTAATGTCTGCTGATGAAGGCATGTGCTCAGTCCTGGTACTCCTGGACCTTAGCGCTGCTTTTGACACCATTGATCACAACATCATGTTAGACAGACTGAGGCACTGACTGGTGATCTCTGGTACTGCCCTAGAATGGTTTTCGTCCTACCTGTCAAATAGGAGGTTTTGCGTGTCTGTAAACAACTATGTCTCTTCGTTCTGTCCAGTTAAATATGGTGTGCCTCAGGGGTTGGTCTTAGGACCCATTTTGTTTTCTTTGTATCTGCTTCCCCTTGGACATATTATCCATAAACATGGAATTTCTTTTCATATTTATGCTGATGACACACAAATATACTTGCCCGTCAGATCCACAGACCCTGGAATGCTGAGTTCACTTAACAACTGCCTTTGTGAAGTTAAAAAATGGATGTCAAATAATTTCCTCCAGCTGAACTCAGACAAAACAGAAATCCTGGTCATCGGGTCCCAGCAGATGGCAAATCAAATACTGTCATCCGCTGGTTCCCTAGTAAATCACATTAAGCCTGTGGCAAAGAATCTTGGTGTTTGGTTTGATAGTAATTTAAATTTCGGGCAGCACACCACAAAGCTTGTTCAATCATGTTTTTATCAACTTTGAAATATATCAAAAATTCGATCTATGTTAACTTTTAAGGACACCGAGACCATTTTACACGCCTTCATCTCATCACGCCTGGATTATTGCAACAGCCTTTTCACCTGTTTAACCCAAAAATCTATTGATCGACTCCAGACTGTCCAGAACTCAGCTGCCAGGCTTTTAACCAGAACAAAGAAAATATGACCACATTACTCCTATTTTAGCTTCATTACACTGGCTCCCAGTATGTTTTAGACCTGACTTTAAAATTTTATTGATCACTTTTAAAGCTCTTCATGGCCTCTCGCCTTGTTATATTTCTGAACTTTTAGTCCCATACGCACCAGCACGTACCTTGAGATCCTCTGGCAGAGGTCTGTTGTTTTTTCCAGAGTCTCGACTGAAAACTACTCGAGGAAATAAGGTCAGCTGAGTCAGTGAACTCTTTTAAGTCCCTTCTTAAAACATACTTTTATACGAGAGCCTTTCCCGATCTTATTTGACTTTATGTTATCCCTTTTATTTTATTCTATTTTTCTAATTTTATATTTATCTTAAACGTGTATTTTAGTCCTTTCAATGTTTTCATGCTTTTATCTTGTATTGTTTTTGTATTATTGTCTTTTGGGTATTATTGTCTTTACACTTGTTAAAGCACTTTGTAACTTTTTTTGAAAAGTGCTCTACAAATAAAGATTATTATTATTATTATTATTATCTATCTTTGTCTCTCTCTCTCTCTCTTTCTCTCTCTGGTATGGGAAGATACTTTATTGGCACATACACAACATACATACATACAACATATGTAATGAAATTCATTCTCTGCATTTAACCCATCCCAAGTATCAGGAGCAGTGGGCAGCCACTGTGCAGCATCCAGGGACCAACTCTAGATCTAACGGACTACATGCTCTGTATTTATTTTACTGCATAAAACATTAGTTTGAGATAAATAAAGGTCTGTCTTGTCAGCAGGAGTCACTGATCAGATCAGCTCTTCACTTTTCTCTTTTAATTCTGCCAAACATACAGTATAGACAGACAAATCCAAGAGCAAAGTCAGGACGGGCCTAACAGGTCTATCAGACAACACTTATTAATATTGATTATGGCTTAGCTCAAATAGACTTTATATGGATGTCTAAGTTCAACAGTTGCACAAAATGGTCTTATTCTTTGGTTGATGCTACCCCTTTTGATTTGAGTCACAATGACTTTCAAGAACAATATAATCAGAATAATGTCAGCTTCGCCACTGCGAACAAGCAACACACTGAGTCACATCTCCCTCTTTTTGTCAATTGTCAGCAGGTGTCGTGAACAGTGACCCGTTGCCCATTAAAAGAGGTGAGAAAACAAGGTTTGGGGGGGAGGGATGTGAGAAACGGGGGAGAAAGGGGCTAAACGGGTTATATATGTATGTGCGTGTGATTGGATCAGAGAGGCATAGGTGGATGAAATGAGTGAAGCACAGGTAGTTGGATTGGAGGAATTGAATGAGGCGCAAGTGGTCGAATTAGTGAGAGAGAGAGGCGTGGTCCTGTTCCTGAACTTTAGTTATATAACTCCATTACATGTATCAAGGATCAAAATGAAGACTGGCCTAACTACATACAGGTTGATCAGATTCCTATTAAACAACTTTACAACAAACTTTGACAGCAGCCGTTGTACGCTTTGTTAATATGATAAGTAGAGCTGCAACAATTAGTCGATTAATCAACCAGTTGTCAACTATCAAAATAATCGCCAACTATTTTCATAACTGATTTATCGTTTGAGCCACTTTTTAAGAAATAAAGTAAAAATTCCCTGATTGCAGCTTCTCAGATGTGAATATTTACTGGTTTCTTCGCTCCTTTATGACAGTAAACTGAATATATTAGGGTTGTGAAGAAAACAAGACATTTGAGGAGGTCACCTGGAGCTTTGTGAAACACTATGGATCAAACAATTAACCAACAATCATGAAAATGATCGTTAGTTGCAGCCCTAATAAAGAAGTGTGACTCATTTGTTGTGATTTTTCTGTCTGTTGTCCCAACAGACAGAAAAATCACAACAAATGAACTAAATAATATTTTTGAACTAAAAATAAAGCTACATCTTTATGCTGCCTGCTCTTTTTTGTATTTGGAGGATTTTAAGAGACATTTTACAAGAAAATTCGATCATCATGGACATTGTTAGTGCATTCATGTTGAGACAATGTTGTCCTGCTGCTGGTGTCATTAATTGTTACCAGTTTTAGTTTTCAGATGAATAACATTTAAGCCTTAAACGTGGTCCATCTTGTGCAACTGTCTAAGACACTAAACATCATGTCCTCTCGCCTTCTTTTCACTGCCGATCACACTGGCCATTATAGAAGATGTTGTTAAACTCTTACTTAAGACATTAAGATTGTGTTCAGACTGTTCTGGTTGTCATTATCACATTCATATTTTCTTGGTCGAGTATGTGCTGACAGCTCGGCCACAAACCTCAGCATTGTACAAAGTTGGTGAACAGTCATGTTGTCAGCCCTCCAGCACATGGCTGCTGTCCATGTTTCTCGTCTGGCATTTTAATGGAATGCAAAACACACAGATGTGAATTTCTCTTTAACAAGGAGGCACCTATAATGCAGTCCAATAAAATGCCTCTTTTCTATGATTTTTATTAAACGCTTGGATGGTCATGATTAGGATCAAGGATGAACAAATGTGTGCGATGTCTGCTGATGTGAAGGATTATAAAAAGACCACATGTGCGTGTCTGCCTGCCTCACACCTGGAAATAGACTGAGATGAAAAACTGCATTTGATGAATGATATTTTTGTTTCTTTAATTAGAAAGTCTGGAACTTGCCAAGCATCTCCTTCGTGCTCCCTCTGCTAGGACACACGCAAAAGAAACACCAAAAAAACATAAAGAATGCAGTTAGCATCAGCTTGACAGCCATTATCTTGCCCCTCTGTCATTCTGTCACAATGGTTCTCCAAATAATTACATCTCCTGCCTCGTGTCACAAAATGCCTCCTCTCCACTCTGTGTGTGTTTGTGTGTGTGTGTGTGTGCTGATAAAGGAGAGACACAATGAGAGGAGACGGCAGAGAAAGGCAGATTAATCTCCAGAGTCGAAAGGAAAACGATTTTATTATGTTCACGTGTGAAGCAGCTGGCCGTGCTGTCAGTTGCAGTCGGGATTGAAACGTCCACAGAGCAGCATATTGGGCTGTTTCACAGGGGAGGGTAACATTTCAGCTCTGAACACAACACATCTGTACAGGGTGCATATACTGTATGCATGTGTGTGTGGAAAAACCATAAAGTCTGTAAGCTATAAGGGCGAGGGCTTGTAGCTGTAACACTGTCACGCATTCACATACATTTTTAATGGGACAATTAATACACACGAGGAGATTTGGCTTTTATTCTCCCTCAGGGAAGTCAAGGATTCAGTGTCTTGCTCATAGACACCTCTGCTGATCGCATCCGTCACTGACATAACTGCCAAAATGGACAGTCTTTCTGAGCACTCGACCACCTCCAGTCTTCTTTTATACTTCTCAGTTTTTATTTCTTTTACATTCAGCTTTGTTGTACCTCAGGCTGGAGAGTAACAGGCTGGTTTTCATTAAGGTATATTGGATACAAGTTTCAGTGAGGTTACAAGTAAGCCATGATTCTGCAGACATCAGAATAACTTTTTGTTTTTTATCATCAAAGAGACTTTGGCTTGACATTTGCATTTTTTTTGCTGGAATGCCAGTCAAAACCTAAGGAAGCAAAGGAATGCCATAATAGGCCTAATTAAAGTAACTGTACAAGCAATGGTGTGTTTGAACCACCACTGAATACTTATAACTTTCATTAAAATCAAACCCCACTTTTGATGCAATTTATGGTAACTGCAGTATCTCTTTTTATAGTTGTGTTTGTTGTTAGTGGTGGAGTCCGCCATTCCTGTGCACGAGGAAGCGATGCATGTTTGTAGTCCAGCGTTACTGTTTGTAAACTTCTCCCATTGCTATCAGACTGCTTACTCTTCACTTTCCCACAGCTGTGTCAGAGATGGAAAAAAATCCTGCTGTTACAAACACATTGCTGCTGATACCACTGATTGCAAACCTTAAGTCACTTTTCCACCCGATGGTACCAGCTCAATGCACCTCACCTCTACTCTCTGTTTTTGGTTTTCCATTGGATAAATCTGGTTCCTGGTAGGTATCTGGTAGGCTTTTTGGTATTGCCGCTGTCGATACACTACTGATTGGTCAGAGAGAATCGTCACATTTCACTGCATCATCATTGTGCGTACCAGACGGGGCGTCATGAACAAACCCGCCATTTTTAAATAGTTTAGCAAAAGATTGCGAGATAGTAACTGTAAGGATACTCTCTGTACTTTATCACTTTATCATTATTATGGCAACCCGCAAGTCCACGCTATGGTCAAATAAGTCCTATGTGTGGAGAGGTGTGTGGGGCGTTTGGTTATGTGTGGGTCACCGATGTGTTTCACGCATTAACTGTATATAAAAAGGTTTCACATTGAAGATTAGGCTACGTCACGGGCGGTTTCGTGTGGCTTCGCTATGATGACCAGTGAGATTGAAGGGTGCATTTCAGGCAACTCGGAACAGGGAAATTTCCAACCTCCAATTAGAAAAAGTACTATGGAACGCCACCTGAAGTCAGATTTCCTACTTGTGAAAAATATGTACCACCAGTAGCAGCCGAATGACGTCACGCAATAATGGCAGCTCCCATGGAAGCACACATTGTAAATGGTAAACCATGAACTAAAAGGCAAAGTAAAGTATTAAATTAAATAGAATACATACTAGTATCAAATAGTGAAACTTGTTCTGCATGTAAATTGATGTAGACATATTTTGTCAATGTTACTAGGCAGCTGGTTAAAGTAAACACAGAAAAGAAACATAAGTTTGTCACAGTTAGCTAGCCATGTTTATTGTTTACATTTGGCGTCATGCACCACCATGCACTTGAAACGATTTGAGGTCGGAAGTCAAATATTTCAACTTGGAAAATTCCCAGTTCCCGACCGGTCTCGAATGCGGCATATATCTGCAATGGAAAATGGAGGACGGGGCACCAAAAGCGAGTTGAGTATAGATGAGTCAAGCTGGTACCAGAGAGCCATCATATGGTTTGAATTCCCTTATTTAAAAAAAAACAAAAAGTCAAGTTCACAAATTCAGAAAATTCCAGTGTCTGAAGTTTCCAGTCCTTCATCAGAACTTTTCTTTCTTGGATCATGTGACTGAGACGATGTAACCTGAGACAGTCAGACAAAGGTCTGATTGATCTGGTGTCTGGATGTAGCCAGTCAACAAGATTATTATTATTATTATTATTTTACCTCACTTGAATGTTTTAGATCAGAATTAAACTGAGCTTAATTTGAATTTTTAAGTCAGATAGATTTCAAATTAAAATCTTTCTATTCTATTCAATATTCTATTTATGTCATGAAAAAACGTATTCAGTTGCTAATAAAATCCAAATAATTATGGCCCCCCATTACTTTGTTCATGCCCTGAAATGTTTGTAGTTTAGGAAAACTGGAGTTTTAATAGAAGAAACCACAATTGGTACAATGGGACTGACTTTTTGAATTCAGATAAACTGACCACAAGATCTGATGGCCAATAAAGTTTAGAGCCTGGCACACACACCGAATCAATCACACGTGAGTTTGTATTCACCATGGAGGACTAGGAGGAAACGGTATGCAGGCTGGACAGATGTATGCAGAGCAAACATGTTTCCTCCAAGTCTTTCCATGTCAATACGCAACAGGCAAAGCGCAGCTTGTTTGATCCACCAGTTACAGTTTCAATAATGCAGACAGAAACATCACAAAGATTCAAATAGAATAGATTAGATTTAAAATGAACACTGCTAGCCTTGACAGTCTATTGACAATCCACACCACCACCCAGACGCTGGCTTAACTTTTCTCCTTGGTCTTCTTGCGTCCTCAGAGCTCTTCTTACACTGTCTGCCACTTCTCTCTTATTGTTCGCCTGACGAGCTCTCCTGTCAGCATCGCTCATGTTTTACACAGCTAGATAAAGTCTGCAGGGAGTGTGTAAAATGTTATTGGGTGAATAAGCACAGCGCAGGTGCTGGTCTATAGATCCACCACATGTCTGGGCACATGTGGACCCGCTTGTTCTCATCAAGCCTCATCCTTTCCCATGCTGCTTTTTAACGAGGCGTGTTGTTTTGTTGTCAAATGCGCGGTGGGGTTTTTATGGAGCAGACAGAAAGCTGTTACAGATATATTTAATGAGCTCTTATACTGTGGTTTGTGAGCATGTGTGTTATGAATTACGGAGGCCTGTGATGAGTGCAGTGCGTCTCCGCAGTGAGGAGGGTCTCCATCCGGCCCATGGGAGCAGCAGTTTGTGGTGTCTGGCCTTGTGTAATATGCTTCGTATGATTTGTACTGATTGAATGCACATAACGGAGAGGGTATAGTATGTTCTGTCTATGTTCCAAAGGCTGCGGGTCAATATTAAGGCCTATGTAGAGTGGTACAATTGCTCCAAACTATCACTCCCAAGATAACAACAAGCAACTTGAGCCACTCCTCCTCTGGGGCAATTTTTCGGATCCAATAATCAACCAAAAACCTCTGAATAGTTTTAGAGTACGGCCCAAGGCCAAGAGGATCCTGGGTCTTGAGAGTTTGGGAGGGAGGTGCTCCCTGCTCAGCTGCACTCCTCACAGTTGCAGGCTAAGATGTATCTGTAAGTGGCCGTAATGCGAGTCCCGCCAGCGCAGCGCAGCCTCACCGCCTTCAGCTTGGAGGTGTGTGGCCGGCAGCAGGAGCAGGTGCTCTTGAACGGCTGTTTGAGCACCGAGCTGAAGGAGATGAGGGGGTCGGAGCGGGTCGTGTGGCTGCAGTGGCCCTCGCAGCGCGCCAGCAACACCATCTGGAACACAGCATGCAGAACAGGCAGAACAGAGTAAAGACAGCACAGATAAGTCATTCACACAGGTTTTTTTATGACCTTCATGCTCTGTCAGGGATGAGAAAAGGTCTCTGGCTACAATGAAGCAGTGTTTGAGTCCAGTCTAAAAGTGAGCCATCTGTCTGGACTCAGGATGTCTCCCATGTTTCCCAGCCTTGGCCTTGCACCTGCAAACTGAGAGATAGCAACGAGCAATGAGAGATAGCACTCCTACACCTGCTTCAGCTCAGAGAGACGCTCAGGGTCACACAAAGCCACTTGCACAAGTTTTACTAGTTCATCCAGACTGATCCAGGTGGCACTTATACTTGCTGATACACTGACCAAGCTTTCCCAGGTCTGACCAGTCAACTCATGCACACTCACATGCATGCACATACACAGCACTGGCCTGATTAGTGGTGTGACCGTCTGACTGGCCTTCCTCTGTCGGGCACTAAATTCCTGTCACCTCCCTAAACTGACTCCTGTGTCGTGTCCTTCTGTCAGCTGCTGTGTGTCGCCACCCATGTACCCACTTGATAAAAGCCTGTCTGGGGCCATGGCAGGGTGACACACACACAAACACAGACCCATCAGCAGTGCTGTCGCCACTTTAAGAGCATTTGTTTTTGTCCTAGCAGAGGATCAGGCTGTCAATCTGTGACAATTCCTCCTCTGTGGCGCCCCTCTCCTCCTCTACCCGCTTCCTCTCTGTCGGCACCTTTCCTGCTGCTCCTTTCATTCATGACCAGCTGGAAAAAAAACAACTGATACAGTGGATGATCATTCACCTCTTTGTGTATTTACTAAGCTGGTGATACAGAAGAACTTGCTAGTGGTGTCATCCAAAGGAGGATGTGGCAGAGACAACTGGAGGTGCAGGGGAACACTTAGAGAACTGGAGCAGGAGGAGTGTCAGACATTCAGGGTTTCTGGGAAACATTTTTCTGCACAGACAACGTGAGATGAGCGACAGCTGGAGCACTTCCAATGCCTGGGTGGGAATGAAACTGTCCTGGGTGAATTATCAGTACAAATGATGAACAAGTTAATTTAAAAAATCCTTTAATAAACATCCACAAAAAGGGAAGTCCACAATGACTCCCTTGGATTATTGTGGTCATTGAGCTTAAACTCTACGAGGTCGAGGTGAGAGATTTCTTTCTGTAGAAACCAGTTAATACACACAGTTGATCAATTTGCCTTTCAGACTTTGGATGAATTAAACAACTGTGGCGCGACTGCAACAAAACAAGAACTCAAACAGTCGATTCAAACTTTCTGTCATCAAAACAAATCAAACATTTCTAGGATGTCTTCTTGGGCTCTACTTTCGGACACTTCATTGACTAAAAATTGAATTGATTAATCTATAGTGAAAATAACTGTTAGTTGCAGCCCTAATTCTAAATTTGTTGAGTGTAAAAGTTCACTCTTGATTTTGAAATTCATAGTTTGAGATGGTTCACATGTCATGAGTCATCTCCACGACAAGTGGGCAAGCTCCATCTGCTGATGAAGTTTTTTGACCTTGAGTGGCACATTATTCATAGAACACTAACAGAAAAAGGGATTTCTTGGATAGATTTACAGTAAAAGCTCCTGCACACTGTGTATTGAACAACAGTGTTTTGCATGAGCTTGGTTTCTCTAATAGTTTGTATAAATATTACTCTCTCGTTGCTTTCTCTGGCTTATTGTCACTTGTTATATGAAATGACCAACAAAACCTAGGTATATAATACATTTATCAAATGTTGACTCATCACTTATTCTCATACGTACCTATCAGTACACAAGTGTTCAAAGATCACAATGTTTGTAACTGTTGCCTATGACACCTATAGTATCATTAAACCTAAAGAAAATGTTCTAAAGCCAATGTACAATTTGTGAGCTTAAAGAAACTAGCACACAGAGACACGATCATTCTACCTCTTCTACCACACACAGACCCCTCACATGCTGTTCATGCACACACAGAGACACCGAGCAAGTCATGGTGCAGGTGGATTCTGTGTGAACTGTACATACTGAGAAGGAAAACGGTTGCTCAGCCAGGCGTCCCGTCGTCTCTCTGTGTACTGTAATAGAAAGCCCCAACTCACGCTGTGAGTGTGTTCAGCCCTGCCTTGCCTGAGCTGAGCTGTGGTTTGGCCACCTGCTCTATGCACTCAGAGGAGAATGTTAAAAAATGACCAAAGAACTGATCACTCACGCTATCTAAATAACTGCACTGGTGCGCAACAAAAAAGGAAAGAGTGAAAATTGACAGCCCCTTTCCACAACAGCGTTCATACTTTGCACAAAAAGTGTCTGTCTCTAAGTTGTCCGACACTTCAGAGACAGAAACAGAACGAGCCCCACGTCTCCATCTCATTAGGTAACGGTCTGCTTTTCTTTCTTCAGCCCATCTCTCTCTCTTTAGCCCCTGGCAGAGGCAGGAGAGAGCCAGCTGACAGGGAGACGTCCACTCCAGCCAAAACCGAGTCCCAGTGGAGGTGCAGAATATGTCTGCAGCGTGGCCCATGTCCAGCCCCACACACACACACACACACACAGGAGAAACCAAGCGTGACTCGTCTAAATGACAGAGAGATGGAGATAAAGAAAGAGAAGGAAAGAAAGAGACACTGGATTGGCCAAAAGGAGGAGGCAACAAGAGAAATACTCGTAGAAAGAGAAAAATGTGTCTGAGATGAATGAGTTAGTGTTGGAGGATATTTTTGGGCTGGTGCTCTGAGGTTTCTGATGCTTGGTTTGAAACAAATTGCTTCCCTGACATTTGTAACAAATGATTTCATTTGTCAGGTGGACTGGCTACCTTAAACAACGTTTAACCAAAGATTTGTGGGTAACCACAATGAAGCAGATTGGTTACAGTGCGTCTGTTTCTGCCTTACCTTTGAGTTGCACTTGTAAATCGGGTGTGTGATGGTCTCCACAAAGTGGTGCCTCATGCAGCGCTCAGGGTCAGTGTCTCCCAGGTGTGGGTGTATGTTATCGCTGGCCTTGTTGCTGCTGGCAGACTGGACCAAGCCCAGCAGCGGGCAGCACATCAGGACCAGTAGCAGGCCAGAAGGGGGCCCCACAGAGACGGAAGATTTCATGATCGAACCACCCTGAGGCTCTCGATCCTCACTGGATGTCCAACACGTCACGTTGTCTCTGTTATTCTCTGTGTTCCCTTTTTATTTCTCACAGTTCTGTCCACCTCTCACCCAAGCTGTATCTCAGGGTTTCACAAAGAGGAGTGTCTTTGTCTCCCTATCGTTCCTGCTAGTACAGTGGAGGTTCAAGGTCAGCGAGTTGTATGGAGAAAGGTAGCAGGAGGGTTGCTTCGTCGGGCCGCTCCATCCCCCGCTGTCTGGATCCAGTCTGGAAGAAGAAGACAAACAGGAAGGCATCAGTGGGAACCTGAACTGATAAAGGCAAGAAAAGAAACAATATTGTGTGTGTAGGCAGTATGTTTTGTCTATTAGACATTTGTATATCCAAGGGAATTACTATAAGTGCTGCTGAAAAGATCACACACTCCTCGCTGTGTGTGTGTGTGTGTGTGTGTGTAGGGAATGGAGCTACCTCCAGACAGCTTCTCATAGATATTTTTGCCAGTTTTGACTGTTTGATGACTGTGTGTGGGTCTCCGAACCTGGCTGCCTACTTCGTCTCCTTTATTCCACGGTCGCTCCTGTACACCCACACACTGCACACACATGTAGACACATAAGTCGTGGTGCTTTTATTACAGGGGAGAAACTTAAGCCATGCACAAACAGCCTGCAGCCAGGTCCTTTCCTCTCCCCAGGAATGACTTTTTCATTAAAACAAATCACTCTCCCAACAAGCCCTCTCATGACTGCACACCCTCTGCCAGTACCGCAGCATATTTTCACATGTATTTATGTAGTTTTTTTCCTTTTTCCAACTTCATAGTTTTATTGTCCTCCTGATAATAGGGTTCGTGTTAAGAGGGAGCCTGGTGCTGGCTGAGGCAGGCTTGCTAACAGGCAATGTGTTGTGAATTAGGGAGAGGTGTGCAGACATGTAGGGTCAGGGAGTGAGAAAAGAGCGTAATGATCAAGGTTTAAGGTTGAAGAATTTTTAAATATTGTTATTACAGTTTTTATGGAAATGCATCTTCAAGGCTTTTTATGGCGATATGTCTATAAGGATCCAGGAGTTTGTCTTGACTACTGGAATAGTTTGCACGAGCTACTTGTAAATTCAATAATTAGTTTGTGCATGAAGCTCTGAAGCTTGATTTATACCTGTGCGTCAAGGGGTTAAGGTGAAACTATAGTGCTTATGCACATTGCTGCTGAAGCTACTCTGTGGCTGTAAATTGTGTTAATTGGTATCTGTAGTCTAATCAAACAAAACTGTAAACAGGATGGTACTGTAGCACCCAAACTAACAATTTTAAGGGGGCAAAAAGCTTAACCATCAGTCCTTTGTAAATGTATTTCTTAAAAGTGCATATATGGAGAAATATGTGTTTTTCAGAGTTAGCATTCATGCAGTTTAAAATGAGCAGGAAATATCGGATTATACCAACCAAGCTGACATTTGGTAAATTAGCCTTTCCGGGTTGCAACATTGTTAAACAGTATTTTGATAAAGTGGGCCAGACATGTAGACAGTACATTAGCATGCTAACGATAGCGGAGTCAGTTACTATGTAACTGTGTTACACCTGGTAAATTGGTGTAAATGGTCTGTATGTGTCTTGTGGGAACCTGCACATGAACATAAGAGTGACTGCATGTGAAGTCAGTGGCCTTGTGTACTGACTTTCTGTGGCAGTAACTACCCTCTTGAGCAGGAGTGTTTGGCATAGTTAAAGGGCAGGAAACGCACTTCTGTATTCTGTCAAAGCTCCCTTTTTAGTATCCATCTTCATCACTGCATGCCTCTACACTGATTTCCTCATTTGAACTGAAATCACAAAAGTTCACTTGAAACTTTTATACAACCCCCCCCCACCCCAGACCCCTCCACCCCCTGCAATTCCAAACCCAATGTTTTTCTTTCTAAGGGGAATCATTTAACCTTTACATTCCTCCTGAGAGAAATAGAAGTATCATTTGACTTGTTAAAATAAATACTCCCCGAGATGTTTTGTTGGCCCGTCGAACATGTGCTGCAGGGTTTACATAGCAGATGGCCCGGTCTTCTCGCTGCAGCAGGCTGCTTTATCCAGCCAGCACCCATCAGCACCTCCAGCCTTGCCAGCCGTAGCATTACAATTGTGACAGTTATACCCATCTCTGCTGGTATTACCATCAGCATCATTAGTGCGCTTGTCTTAGGCATTACACACTCAAGTTATTTAGGATAGAGCTCTGATTGTAGGCTACAGGATAATTTAGCGGATTAAATCAATATGAGGTTTCCATACAAAAGAGAGCGAAGTGGGACAAGTAGAGGCAAGCGTTAAAGATAAGACTCCTGCAGGTATTGTATAGTTTTTACAAGATATCTACGTGTTTACCTCCACCTCTTTGAAGCTCCACATGGAGGCATAGCTGGATTAACCTGTAAGGGGGCACCGGGGAAAAAATATGCTGTTGGGCCCCTATCGACCCCCACCAGAACCCCCACCTACTGTGCATTGTGTATGCGCCCTGTGGCCTCCAAGTTCCCATTAAGTACAGTTCATACAGCAAACTACACATGGCAACTTCATTATGCCCACAGACCCAGAGACAACTGGTACTGCTATGATGGAATATCTGCATGTCAGTTAAGTCAGTGGTCCACAGCTTTAGGAATATGCACCGTGTGAGCATATTATACAATTCCCTTCTAAAAAACAGAGCCCACAAGATTGGCTACAACTGCATGAATTGTCTTAAAGCTGCTATCTTCAATGTTTTTATAATAACAACTGATCAAATGACATAGTAATGAGCCCAGCTAATTACTAAATTCTGACATTCCCCTCAGCTCTTCAGCGAGTTTCAGCTTCTTTCAGATTACTGTTTTGGTTTATAGCCCAGAATTTTAAATCTCATCACTCTCATAACGTCGCTTTCAGGTGCAGTAGGCAGCTTTTTACAAAAAGCACATTCCTTAACGTAAAGTTAGCAACTAACTGGGGATCACAGTCGAGTAATTAGCAGCCAGAGTCAGATTTTTCCCTCAGGAGTTGGTGGAGACCAACAACAGAACCAAAAGGAGGGTGAATATTGGACTTACATTTGCCAGGTGGCCAGAGTCAAGACTGCAACTGAATGCTAATTTTGCTGCATGTTTATTAGATGTAAATACACAAATGTTTACCAATGAGTTTTCCTGATTGTTGTGTCCAAAGCTGGTCAGTTCTTGCAGGTTTAACTGATACTGCACTTGGTGGCTCTGTACACGCCGTCAGTTTGGGGTTCCTATAGGTCTGGGGCCAAGTGGCAAATGGCCAGATGGTAATCCAGCTTTGCAGGGAGGAACAGACACTATATGGGACTGTAGCACCCTCTAAACTCAACTCAAATACATGGATTTTATTAAGTGAAAACATGTTAAATCAATTCAGATCAGACATGCCAATGTAACTGTATTTCTGGTCAGACAAGAAAAACATCCTCAGTATTTCCTCGTAATCACAAATCCCCCCCAGAACATGTGTTTTTGTTAAACAGACAACAGGTCCTGGCCTTACTGTGAAGCAAAACAAACAAAGATAATGACAGGAGCGATCCACCCTGTAAATACCAGGACTAGCCAAATAAACGTTGTCATTTTGTTCTACAGCCAGCTCTGTCCTTCCTGATTAGCACTTAGTTGAGCTAGCCAGGCATTCCCACCATATTGCCTTTTAATGTGCAGCAAAGAGAAGCTTTTCTATTGATTGTCATCTGCCTGTTATGCAGCCAGCGGAGACAGCCATGCTCTAACTGCATAGCTACTCGCACTGTGACATCCCTCACTACAAGGTGACTACACATCATTATTACTGCTTCTTTTGCTGACTTACACTTAGCTTTCAAAGCTGGTGATATCAATATATAGCTACGAATGGCAGCTGGCACTGACAATAGGGGCTTTTAGGATAATTTATGGAGATAGTATCTGTGTGAGCGAGTTCATTACTGCACTGCGAGTGTGAAAACTGAGCGCTTATCCACGTGTTGCCTCCCTGCCTGGACTGCACTGTATGTTGAAGCAGCAGTCAGTTGTAAGGTCAGGAGGTTTGGGGCAGGGTAAGGGCCAGTGTGGCTTCCTCTCCCCCAGCACACCCACACCTGCCCTAGACTCAGATTTATAGAGCCCCTGGGTGTTCACAAACAGCAGCTGGATCCTCCTGTCCACCCCACCATCTCGCCCAAGGATAATGACCGGCGAACACAAAACCGTTACGGTCTGTGTCTTTCCTGGATCTGTCGTTTGGATTCGACCCCATCATCCAGTCATACTGAGCTTCTCTTTGTGATATAATTACAAAAGCAACCCCCCTTTAAAGGTGTTCCTGCTTCCATCACGTCCTCCTTTATCCCCAAGACAAATCAAGCATTTGTACCCCTCTGTTGTAATGCTCAGGTCTGATCTACAGCGGTTCTACATCTTTGGGAGGAGTGTTGGATCAACATGCACTATGTCACCTTGGGCCCTTACTGTTTTCATTACAAAAAGCAGCTATGTTGGCAGCAGAGCTCCACAAAAAAGTAATCCATTCTGAATTACCCATGAAATTTCAGCTCAATTAAAGTAAACAACTTCACTTGATGATTGTTGTAGAAAATCTGCTGCAAGGCCAGGCTCCATCCAGTAAAACTCCACAAAGACAGTCAAATTTTCCATTTGACAAGGCAAAGTTTTTTTGGAGTGCAAAGCAACATTATCTTAAAATGCATTCAGATACGTTTGAGTTTGAGGAATAGTATGCAGTCTGGGACAAGAACCTGAGTGAGTACATCATGCCTAAATGCTGCACGTATAGGTTATCAGTTTTGTCATCCTCTGCGCAGTAACACCAAGCCATGTTCAGTGAGGTGGGAAAACTGTGCATGTGGTGAAACACTGGAAATCAGTGACAACCATGTTGCTGCTTTAAGCGGTGGGGGTGGCGTCTGTTGTGTAAATCACAACCGTCCCATGTTTGTAGTGCGTCCAACAGAAGCAGTCCAAGGTGGCTTTATTATCAGAGGGGAAGGATGGGGCAGTGGAGGACTTGCTGCTGTGATTTCTGTGTGGAAATGCCATAAAAGACCAAGACTCTGGGCCAATAAAGGCACAATTCAACAAGGCTTTTTATTATTGGTTTATTATTTTCCAACACATATGCAGTTTAATTTGTGGCAAACAATGGGTCCTTCCCTTCAGACAGAGGCATGCAAAAGCAGGCTCCTCATTTCTAGCCAAAGGCCGTCGAATTGGCCGCCTGAAATTAAAACTGTCACCAGCAGATTTTATAAAATGTATCTTGCTTGCTAATTAAGCTAATCTCTGAGAATCTTGTAAAAGAAAGAAGTTTATGGCTACATACGTGATATCATGCTAAAAGAATAACTATATAGTTAGTTGTGGATGTAACTTGTAACCCCACAAACTATATAGTTACTGAAGACAGTAAGCTTGTAGGCCGAATTGCATCTGATGTCAGAGCAGATAGTGTCACACTTCTGCGCTTCAGTTTTTCATTTTGGGACAGGCTAAAAAGACCCTTCAAACTTTAACTGCCCAGAATCGCTCTTACTAAAGCCCCACGCAGAACGCTTCAGCATGTAGAGAAATCCAAAGCTTGGCCACACAGGCCTGTCATGCTATTTTACTGTTGCAGTAAACAACAGTTTGGCAGCACAGGTTTAGTAAACGGTCAATTGTTTCAGCTCTAGATTGAACCCAGACATCTACCCTGTTTGGCCTCCCAGGTAAGTGGCACTGCTACATCGGTCAGTAGAGTTTGTCTGTTGGCTCAGCCTTTTCTTAAACAAATTCTGTAACTTTAATAACTTGGCACAACAATCCAAAAATCTAAGGCATTCTCTTTTCCTCTTTAACTGACCAATGTGGAGTTCCCGGTACTCAAAAACTAATTAGAGACCCAAAGCCAGAGGCCCACAGGCCGATGAAATTATTAAACAGCATGCATTAACCACACACATATTGAGTGTGGAGACCAATCTCTAGATCAGCATGTACTGCTTATTAAAAGACATATCAAATGTCTTAGAGCAAATCAGCTTCAGCAGCATTGCTGAGGGGCAGATCATTTAAGACGGGCCGAGTATCTGCAAAAAAGACCCAGTCTGGGTTAAGAATATCTGGGGAGCCAAACCACCAGACCACACTACAATCCCTCCTTACATACCACAATCCCTCTGGTTTGAAGCTTTAGGACTTTGGGAGTTATGAGTTTGAGTGATTCCAAGCTTAAGGAGTGTTGTTGTGATATCTCTGTTAGAGGCTATGGTGGGAAAGATGCATCCCACGCACTCACACACGCACGCACACACACACGCACGCACACACACGCACACACACACGCTGACTGACTGAGGTACAGTGGTCGAATGTAAGTTGAATTTGAAATGAAAGTTCATTGCTGTAGTTAACTACAATTTGGAGGTACTATATTGGAGTATTTTCACTTAATGTTACTTTATACTTCTTCACAGCAGTTCAGAGGAAAATGTTGTTTTAACTCCAGTGCAGTTATTGAACAGTGACAGCTATTAATTTCTTTGAAGTTCAAGATCTAATATAAGTTTACATTATAGAAATGGAATATAAAAAAATACACTGACAAGAGTCCTTCTTCTGCATAATGCATACTACAAGTAATATATTAATGCAGGAGTTTTGGAGTAATGTTACAGTGGTGTAGTGATTTTAAGTAAAGGATCTGAATATTTCTTCCACCACTGGAAAAGTGGAATCTCAGAAAGACAGTAAAACAGTAAAAGGGAAATAAATAACTATGGCTCCTAGTGCTGAAATAGATAGTTGATTAATCAATACATCGGTCAACATTAAATTAAATGTTAAAGTTATTTATTCACTTGTTCAAGCTTTTCAAATGCAAAGATTTCCATGTAAATTGAATCTCTTCTGATTTTAAGACTGGTGGTCAGACTTTGGAGACTTCTATTATTTTTGACAATTTATAAATCAAATGATTCCTTATAATCTCATAGCTTCTCTCTCTATAGGAAAGTGACAGTGACACACTGAAACAATTCCCAAAGGGAAGAAAGGTGCAAAAAAAAAAGTAGAAGTAATAATGAAGACTTTTGTTCACGAGGTAAAAGTGAAACGATGACATCATCTCAAAATCTGTTATGAAAAGTGGCACCACGAAGCCTCCCAACTGTTCAAGCCATATGTTGTGTAGAACAGAATTTCTCAGTCCACGTCACCACGTTTTGTTCTTAGCAGTGGGGTGCATGTATAAATATCCCCTGCCCACTTCACTTATGGGTTTTTTGTTCTCACACACGCAGACCCGCACACATATGTACATACACATGTAACACAGGGGCTGAGTGGTGTGGTATTCTCGTTGTGCTGCCGCTCTGGGGCTCTAAACATTGCTGGGATGGTGGTGTGTGATGGCACATGGGCCGGTGCTGAGGAGCCAGATCTTCAGAGGGATCCTCTGCTTTATCACCCAGGCCAGCCGGCAGCTGAGTGCACAGTTGTTGTCCAGGGACTGGGTCTGTCTGCGGCGGCAGTGGGCAGCTCAGTTATAGAACCGCCGCCACGTGCAGAAAACAGGTGCATCAAAGGACACCAGGGGAAGGGGAAGTGACAGAAATGACAGGTAGAGTGGGGGAAGTGTAATTTCTTGAGCCATCGTGAATACCTTTGCCTATCTCTATCCCTCCCTGTCTTCTTCTTTCCAACTACATCATCACACTCCTTTGTAATTTGCTCTAGTGCTTCACCGTGCCCCCTCCTCAGCCTCACCTCCCTCCATTGTTTCACCAGCTTTTAATAAACTAAAGGGCAGATTCCTGACTGGAGCGAGAGGGGGGACAGACCCACAGACCTGTCCTCCAGCCACACACACACACACACACACACACAAGCACACACACACACAGTTTGGCATGCAGAGTGCCAAGCTCTTCCACTGTCTACTGACGCCAGCTCCAGAAACACACACACAAACTTACTCTTTCGTTTGTCTCTCTCACACACACACTCACCCTCTCTTACCCTCCCCACGCGCCAGCCTCCTAAAAGCTAAGCTCCTCACTAAATATATCCCCCCCACAGTAAAGATAAGACAAACAGTGCGGATTTGAGAGCAGTGTGCAGCCAATGACAGGCATGTGAGCCGGAGCTAAGCTTCTGTTAGCTTTACAATTTAGGCTTCTCAGAAACAGTGGGGAGAGGGAGACACAGAGGACATATACGTATGAATATTCTCAGATTTCTAGTTCTTTCTGGCTATTCAGTGTAACATAGTGTGGGAACCGCTGCGAGTGTGGTGTTAAATTTGCTTTGATAGAACAGAACAAAAACAGAACCCTTAATCAGGCACCTCAAATCCGAAATCGGCCTCCTCTGTTCTCTCCATCTTCATCAGAAAGGAAGAAATAATACTAGTATCGTAGTGAGCTGCGGGCTAAAACCAGCGCATGAAACTAGATCAATCCTCCATTCAGCTCCAAGCCTAAGGCGCTCTCGAAAATAGTGAGCGAAGGAGTCGTAGGCGTGTTTGTTTTATCGCGTTGGACCAGGTTTCTTCGGGCAGCAGAGATCTGTCACATGCTTGTCTGGCAGGGCGGTGTTAAGGATCTTCTCGATGGCCTGCGGTTCGTGCAGAGCATCCATTTGTCAGAAGCACATTCCTGCGGCAGTGAGACATTGTGAACTGCCTATCGGAGCTTCAACACTGTCCAAATAAATACACTCACAATGGGCCCCTGCGTGTGTGTGAGTGTATGTGCTTACATGCATGTGTGAGAATATGAAACATGAGAGCACAGACACAAAACCAACCATGCACTGCTCCGCCAGAGCATTGCTGTCTATCTGCACCTGGCTGAATGTGCGATCTTTCAAACACACCTCCTACTCCTTTCCTCGCCTTTCTCTTCTCCAAACAGGTCAAAGGTGATTTTTAGTTTGAGGCGAGGACGCAGGAGTCAATCGGTGCACAGCGACAAAACAAAACAAAGAAAACACAGACATTTTCTTACGGTACAAACTGTTTCTCATCTGGTGTCACTGGAAGTGGGGAAGGATGTCTGGAGGATGTTTTCATCACACAGACTCAATCTCTTTCTTTTTCTTCCTCTTGTGTCAGACTCTTTGTCACTCTCACCTCCTCCAGTCCTATTTCTCTCTCCCCTCTCACACATCTCAGTTTCATTCTGTTTCTCCTATTTATTGTGTCCTTCTCTGGCACTGCTTGTCCATCCGAAGGGCTCACTGTTCCTGTCTCTTGTTTTTCCTCCCACTTGGACTTTTCCTCTTCCCCCTCTCATTCTCCCCTAGTCTTTTGTACTCACTTCATTTTTCATTTAAACACCTTCTCCTTCTCACACGCACGCCTCTCCTTCTCAGTGAGATGGGAAGTGGTAGCTTGTCTCCTCCTCCTCCTACCTACCACAGAGTCTATTATATCTGTCATCATCTCCTTCTAGCATAAGCCAGCAGCCTCGGGGTGTCCAAGAGAACAGGCCAAGTCAATCATACACTCACAGATGTAAACGCACACACCTGTAAAACACATATCCATACATATCTGAAGTTATTCACAGCGCTATTAACCTTGTGCTCCAGCACACACACTCCCCTACAAGCCCTGCAATTCCACTATCCTTCCAGTCTTGATTAGTGAATCCACCAGTGCCAACCCAAACATGTTTCCTCCTATTACACATCATGTCACACAATCCTAATCACAACCACTTGCAGTTTCTGGACACATGCGGAGCAGAAAATACCTGCAATAAAAGAGGAATGTGCACCTGAGCTTAGGGATGTGTAAGGGGAGAAAAACAGGGAAAAAGTTTAAATCTGTCCGAGTATGGCCATGTATCATGCAGCTATGTGAAAATGCATAAATATAAAACAAACATCACATTACCTCCCATTCAGCCTGTAGTAGTGTGTACTGAATTATAGCATTGTCTACAGCCTGTCAAAAAGAAACTATAGCGTTTGATAGACTGTATCTTCAGGGTTTGGTATATATGTTAAAAAGGAAGCTGTAGTTGTGCTGGTCCTGAGGTGTGACACCCAGGCTGGTGGACTTACCTTCAGCGCCCAGCAGCAGAAAGACAGCAATCCAGAGAGAGGCTGAGATCTGTACACAACACTGGATTTGTTGTTCAACTATTGCTTCCCAGCCAGCGCTTCTCTCCTCCTGTTTCTACCTCTCTCACACGTACAGATTGTCTGAGTGCTATTCTCTCCTCCCTCTGTCTCACTGTCTCTTTCACCTTCTCTCTCTCTCTCTCTCTCCCACCCTCTCTCTGTTTTCTGTCCCACAGTGACACTCTCTCACTTTTTCTTTAACAGGGAAATCACCAGAAAGAGGGAGCAGCCTGGATGCTCTGCCTGTGAGGACGGTCGTCACATGTGGATCGTGACACAGCAATCGTATATCATACGCCCTCTCTCTCTCTCTCTCTCTCTCTGTCTTTCCCTCTCTCTCACACATGCACCAGCTGACGCACCGACACGCTCCACAGCGGCAAATGGGAATTCCAGCCCTGGACAGCTCTGCTCGCCCCATCAGGAGAGAGCTGACCAAAAGCTGCAGCCAGTTTTACGAGGTCAGGGTTATAAAACTGTTAGCAGATTTAGTTTATTTAAAACAACTGGCCCCCGTGGCCTACCTCTTCACGCGCTTTCCCCTACCCCTACATGAGGGGTGGGGGTGCGCAGGTGGAGTGGGTGAGGGGGAGGAAGTAATCAAAAGAGATGAGTTAAATAACTCACCTCAGCAATCTTCCTTTGATGGGGATATCTGTGTTGTAAGGACAGTTAATGCAGTCGGGAGAGTGACGCTGGGGTTTCCTCCACCTGCAGGCAAAGTTAAAGTTATATATATGTTAGAAATGTCATCATAAGCGTAAAGCATGTTCAAATTCACTCATCACAAAAGTTTTGCAAATGTTCAAAATTATAACCACATGACGGTGTCATTTCTCAAAAGCTATATGAATTTGAGTTTAAAAAAAAGAAATGCATTCATCACTCACTTTTTATAAACATACAGGACCCTGTGGGTAAGTACGTGTCACTTGGTAGACATTTCATTTTGGATTATTTGTCTTCATCTGTAAACAACGATGTGATGGTGCCGTGCCTGTATGTTTGCCCAGCAAATCCAAACTGTAATGACCTCATCCATCATTCTCACATGGCTCAACATGAAGACAGACACCCTGAAGATATAAAAGGGGACAAACTATGATGACTGGAAAGCTAATAATGAGGGAGGCATCACTGTTACCCTGAGACAATATGCGCTTATACCTTCTCTGAGGCTTTGCACACAACTGCTGCCAAATTAGTTTTTTTTAAAAACAGTTTAAGTTACCAAAATGAGCAGTGTGATATCAAAAAATGACACAAGGTATAATCATCTAATAGGGGCGCAGAAAGAAGCCAGAGGAAAAAGAACAGCACACAGACAGACAAATAAGTCACATCATCCAGTGCCTAAGTACTTAAGATGCATTTTTCAACATGTTTCACACAGACAGAGGGGGAGAGCAGGAGGCACAACATGACAAATGTGCTTTTCATGATTAAATAAGAAAAGGGCGGTCAAATAGTGTGGGAATAACAATGAGTGCAATGTCAAAATAGGTGCTAAGGAATGAGCTTCGACACTCATTGTATCACACACACACACACACACACACAGGGCGCGCATCGTGGTATGCAGAGTCAAAACTCTTGGGGAAAATACGGGAGCAAGCTGCACCACACTAAGTAGGGCTTAGTGGGTCAAAAGTTTAAGAAGCACAATTACCTGAAAGACCTCGACTGACCCCCAAATTTCTCACCTTCTGTTCCCTCACACACACACCTTTGACAGAGGCGATTTACAGCCGGCAGCAGGAGAGGGTGACTTATACACCACTAACAGGCTCCTAGAGAGAGAGAGAGAGAGAGACCCACGTAAGCACAGTTTGTATTTTGATTCCCCGTCAGGCGTTGTAAATGATCACCACTGTGAGCAGTGTCAAATTAAATGGCCATAACTCACCTGGACAGAATCTGACTGCCTCTCCTTGGCTTACTCAGCTTGTGTCCACATGAGGGGTGGTGACAGCGAGTGAATGGCTTCAGATAATGTATCATAATATCACATTAAGAAAATGTTTAGTGAAGCCAAATGTGAATCCCATATGCGGAGAAAGGAGGGTGGGGTGAGAGGCTGAGAGCGGGGGAAAAAGCCAGGAAACAGAAGATATATTGAGGGAAAAGGAGGGGATCCACTGAGATGACATACCGCCACAAGAGCAGCTTTCTGACAACTTGTAAAAACGCTTTCACTTTCTGTGGCGATAGCTGGTAAATGGACAGTAATAAAGAGCAAAGTTATGTTTGTCCCTATGTGTCAGCTGTTGACAGGTAACTTGCTTTTTAAGATCACGATTAACTCGTAACTCACTAATCCAAATTTCAACCTGACACATCTCAGTGATGTGTCCCCGTCTGGTTGGCATTTTGGACAATACCCCATGGCTGCTCACAGTAGTGATTAAGGTCAGGTTGCACCCTTGTTACAGCAGTGAATAAGCTAATGATGTGGCAGTTGTCCCTTTCTTGACCAAGTCCCACCTTGGCTGTAGGCCGTCCGACATGCTGTCCCCATGAGCACCAGCAACTGAGATGTGACTGGACCTGACGTGACATGAGCCATCTCCTCATCAGAACGGGATTAGCAGGGCAGGGTCACATCACAGCTCAATCACACCTGAGTCACACTTTCACCTAACACCAACCATGTTTATCTGGGCTCGGTTCTACAAGAATTTGGGCTGATGGTGAAAATCTGGTTGCCTGCCTGAAGAGTTAAATATCTCGCTCAGTCAGTTTTCAACGAAAGCTCTCAGCTCTTTCCTTCAAGCACAGGGGAGCCTATTTCAAGCCGGTTCGTATTATCAGTCCAAAGCTGTAGACTGACTGATGGTGCACAGACACATTCAGTCTTCATTTGGAAGATTGATTTCCAGCTTTATATTAAGCTACATGAAAAAAATGGAAAGGGGCTATAATTTTGGGAGATTTATGAGGACCGGTGAGCAACACAAAAACTGGCGTGTTTGCCTCAAAAATGGTCTCCACTGGGAGCCAAAGACCTTGCAAAAAAAGTCCCATAGTTGTAATTTACAGCCGGTGTAGAATAACTTTCTCTTTTCTTGACCAGGTAAAGTCACAGCCGCTGCCAAAGACAACTGATGTTTGATGAGCGTACCAGGTCTGCGTTTTCAGTTCAGGGGGGAAACACAGAATAGCACAGGAATAAAACACCGGCTTCACAGAGAAGCTGCACTTCTCAGGCGCTGAGGATGCAGTGAGTGCAGACCACAGTGTAGCTAATGATCTTAACATAGTCATGTGCATGATATTGTATGTAGAATGAGAACAGCAGCCCTTGGGTGGGGGGAAAGAAGGTGATAAAAGAGAAAGTGAAAAATTCTGCGACGGAGATAGAAGGAGAGATGGAATAATGAGAGAGCAGCTAAGTGTTTCCCCATGTGCACCTGGGGCAGTGGCTGACCTGTAAAGCGGGGTCTAAGCCTCAGCTCTCTCTCCCTCCGCCCAATGCCAATGCCCATAGGCACTGAGGAATCACTGGAATGAGGGAGAGCAGCCAAAAACAGTCTGCTAAATTCTCCTCATCTCTGTGGAAGTGTAGAGGCCCTCCAGTTTGGCTCAGACGGAGAACACTTAGCTGGCTGCTCCATCTTTTCTACAGCCCTCCTGGGACGCTGACGGGCTCCAATGCTAACTGACTTCATTCTGATCAGAAGCCAACAGGTGGGTAGACACCACCACCGCCACATAGTTTTCAAGAATGTGTGACTACATCGACTGCGTCATTTAAAAGTTTGTTTTCTCATTTTAATGTTAAAGGAACAATATGTTACCCAAATGTAAACCAAAATGTTGCCCATCCAGCTAGAACCAAGACACCAGTTGGAACTAGAAGCCATCACATTGGCATATTTTCTGACAGTGTTAAATGTTTGTCCAAACCAGAAATGTCTTGATGAAACGATGCCTATTTTAGCCACGCTAGCAGCATGGCTCTAGGAATAGCAATCATGGTCGGTTCAATTGGTCCACCACTGAAATGTCTCAACAAACTATAGGATGGATTGGCGTGAAAATTTTATACAAACATTCATGGTTCCCAGAAGACGACTCTTAACTTAACTTAAGCGCCATCATCAGGTCAAAATGTGTCCAACACTGTGGTTTACGACCAAATAGGTGCATGTCGATGAGCCTCAGCTGTGCATTGCGTTTAGTGCTCAAATGCTAGCATGCTAAACAACTTTTAAATCCCGTCTGAAAACTCACTTTTATTCCCTGGCTTTTTAACCCAGCATGAGTTCTTTGTCTTCTGCTGTTGCCCATCGACTGTTTCTGAAGCATTGGTTTGTGTATTGTCTGTGTTTTTATGTGTTTTATCTTTTAGTCTTTGTGCAACACTTAGCTGTAACCCAGTTTTTTTAAATGTGCTATATAAAAAATTGGTTTGGACTGGATTGGATAAGATGGTAAATATTATACCTGCTAAATACCAGCATTTTAGTATAACATTGTGAGTATGTTAATTTGAAGCAGCGCTGTGCTTCACTGCTAGCATGGCTGTAGACTCCTAAGCTTGTATAGTTTTACATAAAATCTTTCAGTTTTGAATGGTGAAATACACAGAATATACAGAAACCAAACAATCCAAACATTTGTGTTTTAAATAGTACAAAAATAAAATGAAGCAACCACATTAAAATATGAAACTTACATCATGATATCAATTACTTGAAGCTTCTTCAGAGTGAACTTTCGGGCCAAGACGTGCAGCTCTGGGGGAAGAGTTCTGAGAAAAACATCTGAATGCAGGTGCTCTGTGATGTGTGTGTTGTCTCTGTGCTTCCAGGTTTAGGATTTGTTGTCATGAGAAAAGAAAAGGCACGCCGCCAGTAAACAGAAACTTTCCCCCTCTCTGTCTCAGATATCTGTTTAGACTTCATAGATTAGCCATGACTCCATCAGACTTGCATTAAGCCCATCACGCACATTCACATGCGTGCACACAAACACACACACGCACTTGCACGTGCAGAAACACACTCCGATAACCCCAGAGACATTTATGACTTTCCTGTATATCGGTTTTTACAGTGCTTTGGTCCTGAGCAGAACAGCAGTAAAGTGGAACGAGGACAAGACAAGAGAACCAGATTCTTTACAAGCCTCCATGTTCTGCTTCTGCTGAGACAGAGACAACAGAAAGCGGCCACTCAAACCACATCAACAAAACATTGCATGCTGAGAGGAGACATCAGCAGGGAGAGTGATTCACGAGTCACATGCTAGTCAACGTGGCGGTTGAAGTTCGACAACTAATTTCTTGAATGCTTGTACAACTAGAAGATGTTAATGGCCTCTTCTACAGCATGTAGATCAATTATCTATTAAATCCAATAAAGGCAATGAAACTATCATGTGCATTGCAGTCCTGTATCTCTGTGTTTAGAATACATTTAATGTCATTTTTGCCTTTAAAAATATTCACTGGCAAGAATCGAAGCGGGACTGTCACAGTTACATGACACTCCTGTCCTACAGCTTATAAAGAAATATATATGGTGTTCTCATTGTCAACAAAACCCATGAAAAGACTAAAACCAACAATGAACTCATTCTTCTATGTATTGCCTGTGTATCACTGCCTGATATATCTTATTCCTCTGCGCCATGGAGCTCCGTTGCTGTCCAAAATCGATTAAAACACACATCAGTGAGTCACACCGTTGCACTGTCTCGGTGCTGAAAGCCACAGTCAGGCAGGGGAAGACCTAAAGTATTGTTGGTTTTGGTCTTTTGTGTGGCCAGCCTCATCATCTGATTAACACTGCATATGGAAAATTAAACCTTTTGTGTAAAGGATGTTCTTTCTGAGGCCAGTGACGAGGATGCTTAACTCATTCAGTTTGGCTGTTGCTGTGCCACAGAGCATGACAGGGCAGAAAATGTGTGGGTGCAAAGAGACGGAGGCTGACGGGAAGAGAAGGGGGGCGGTGGACGAGCAGGGAGGGAGGGGGAGTGGAAGTTCCTCTCTCACTGTCCTCCCTCTCTCGCACCTTGCTTCATAAGGCAAAAAAAGGCCATGTGTGCAGTCAGGACGCTCCCTGCCACCAGTGATCGCATCGACGTCACCCTTTTGTGTTGTGGTGGTGGACGACTGGGGGAAGCTAATATTTTAGTATGTTTGAAAGCAGACAGAGAGGACCTGATAATGCCCAGGGTGATGTAATGCTCTGTTTCTGTGCTCAGTGTGAAGGGGGTTAGGCAGGAGGAGTGTGTGTGTATGTGTGAGTGCTGGTTACATAGAGGGGATTGGGTTGTTGATTACCTAATGTTATCCCCTTACTAGAATTTGCATCGCAGGCTCTGATTACAGTGGCGCCTCAACCTGAACAACCTGTGCCTTATTATAGTCTAACACTGCTGCACACAGACACATAATAAGGGTGTAGTTCCATTTAAATTAGACCTCTGAAGAGCAACTATAGACTATAGAGTCCCTCCCCTTCCCGAGGACCACCATGGGACTTGTTACAGAAAAAATATGTGCAGTAGTAAACGGCAAGAGACAACAAATGTTTTGATCCCATTTGAATTGTGCCCTGAATTACACATATGATGTTTCTCAGTTTAAACGATCATTTTGCAAGTAAAGAAAGTTGCAGTTTGTTGTAAAACTGTTGAAGTATAAGACCGTGAAAATAATTATATAGACCACAAACCCAAAAGTCGCGTATGTGATGTCTTTTTCTCTCAGTGACTGAAGCTAACGTTACTGAAGCTAACGACAAAGAACTTCCATGATAGATGTGTAGATGATGTGATCAAAGGACCAGGAGTCGTTGGATTAAACACATCAGGTGAGACGCATCTGTGTGTGGAACGTAGCCACGTTATTTAGCTAGTAGCAACCACGCAATGAGCGTTAGCTTAGCATAACAGCATCAACATGTTGGTGACGTATATTGTGTGAGAGATGTAGCCTAGCTCATTGAGCAGTTTCACAAAAAACTAAATCTTATCGTACTGTTTTACGACAAACTGTAACTTCCTTGATAGACAATATTATCTTTTAAATTGACAAACATCTTCTATGTAATTCAGGGCACAGTTCAAAGGGGATAAAAAAATAAAGTGTCTACAAATAGGTCCCATTAGGTGTTCTTGTCTGTACTTGTGTTCTTGTGGACTTGTGAAACGTCATCAGTCGCAGCCCAAGTACTGCTCCAATTCAAAAGTCAAGCCAAGTACAGTCAAATACCCGGATGTGTCCTTGCTCCGCCCGTTTTACCGAGCCTGCATCGGAGGTGACTAGTATGGACGGATAACCAAGTATATGAGAATGCATTTCACGCCAAAATGCATTCTGGCCTGGATATACCTTCTAGCTTTTGGACTCATCTATATGGTGTCTGTCTTGCTGGTAGATGTAGCCAGCATACATAGTCAACGTATAGCACACATAATTCATTCCAAGGACAATTTTCCCCATTATCAACACTGCTGGAGGATAAAGTGTAATTCCCTGCAATCATAATGTGTGTGACTGCACGCTGCCCAGAGCTGAAATATGGTTCTGCTTTAACTCCTCGTGTCTTCAGAGGGATTTACACTAACTCATGTAAACACACACAGACACACACACACACGCGGGCACACACACACATCAAAAAGCAATGGCGTTCTCAGAACTTTCCCCACCTAAAGCATCGATTTTTCAGTTAATTGGACCATTACTGCCAAATCATTCATTTACAAGAAAACAAATTTTCAAATCAGGCACACACATCCCACCCCCCTGCAGTTTCACACACCTCAATCATGGCACACAATGAAAACAAAGACGCTGGCTAGTTGATGTACCATGTTCTTTAATTAATTAGCGAGGACTAAATGTGTACGTGTGTTCGTGAGGCAACTTTGTTCCACCTCTCCCTTTGTGCCTATGTTGAGGTGGTGGTTGTTGGGTCACCGTTGTCGGAGGGAAAGCTGAACACATCCCCCAGAAGGGAAGAGTAGTTGACGTTTTTCATTGTAGCACCACCGCCGTCAAACCTCGCATTCCCATAAAACTGGAGACGACAGGAATACACAAGTCACGACACAACTCTGGCAGCATTAAAATACTTTCTTGTTCAGCATTGCCAATAATTGATTATTTTAGTCTCCACTTTGGAGTTTTATTATTTGTCGCTCTCCTTTTAATATTTCAACTTTGTTATCGTTTCTCTGTGATAGATCTCTCTTTTATTATTCCTTCATTTGTCCTACTCTCTTTTATGAACTTTATACAACTTGAAAAGCACCTTAGGTTTTCAGTGTGTATCAAATGTGCTATGTAAATAACGCTGTCTTGTTTAAAGTTTTAAAAAGCAGTGCTGTCCTTAACCTCCATTATATTGATTAAACCTCATACACAGAAAAGAAAACAACTTCTTTTTAACACAGGAGAGGACAAATGCAATTTAGCAATTACTTTACAGCAGGCTTTTTTGAGTCGGTTCCAAGATCATTAAATATAATGAATAGAAATGAAGAAAGAAAATAAAAAAAAGTAATAAGAAAACTGGCCATACTAAAGGCGCCTAGGAAGTAGTTAGTCACTCTGGGTTGACAACATGACATTCCTGTGTCCTCACTATACAATACTTGTGACACCTTCAAAGATGCACACATGGTTCCGTGGCCATTTTCAGTCTTTTTGGTGGTTCACCTTGGAAAATTTTAATGAGGGCAGAGCAGTTGAGAAGAGACTGAGCGACTAGTTTGGGCTTAAAACCAGCGAGACATAGAGCAGCTGGAAACCGTGACAGAGGACAACATCACATTTACACACACCCTAACACACACAGATTCACGCTATCCATGCAAGCCTCCCTTTGTTGTCATGCCACGGCGTGTATCTCACCTGTTTCTGCTTAGATTTGGCTGCAGCAAAGCATGCTAAATCAGCATTACATAGAAAAGAAACAAATACAGGAGAGAAGAACAATGGAGCCACTTCCTTCCTTTCTGACCACCTCTGTGTGTGTCTCTCTGTCTCACACACAGTCATTTTCTGTACTCAATAAATTGTCCTCTTGTCTATTTGACCATTCCTTCCCACTCACTTCATTCTGCTTTTGGCTCGCTTATCCACTGAGTCATCGCAGAGGTGAAATGTAGATTGATTTTCAGTTACAACTATTTAAAAATCTGTGCACACACTGTGAAGTCACTTACTGTGATTTTCTGATTCACTCTCATCTAAAAAGTTCCACCCTTTTTCTCTCCCCACTTTATCCGCTACTTTTGTTTTCAATGTCTTACTGTCGTTCTTCCCTCTCACTTTTAAAATGTCGTCGGGCATTACTGGTGGAGCAGGGTGTTCCATCCAGTTAATGCCAGCCAGGAAGCCATGGTAGTCAATCTCGTCCCCATCTGTAAACCTACAGCCGACATGAATTCAGATTAGAAACGAGTACAAAGACAACGGCTCCCACTTGATTTAAGTGAAGGTATTTTGCTCTACTTCCAATGCATAATGTTTCAGTGGTATTCAGTCTAAACGCTGGTACAGAGATTTTCCAACCATGCCAATAAACATTTACAATGAATGAAATGATTCGTTCAAAACTATTCTGAAAACGCAGTGGGGCCTTGGAACTGTTCTACACTAAACTGTGTGGTGATTAGTGGGCTCTTACTTGCAGAGCAGACCTCCCAGCAGGTTCTCAGGCAGGGGAAGCCGGAAGGCCTTACAGATGGTCCTTGTCTCTTTGGTAGAAAGACGGCCGGTTCTAGAGACACGTAGAAATACAGAGACACAGGTATCCATAAAAAAGCCAAGAAACCCTATTTGTCAAAGTATGGGTTTGCCTATTTGTGGTGGGATATATGAATAAAGCTCAAATAAAATGCACATGCTTCTCAGAGGCTACAGAATCTACTGAAAATAGTCCAATCTTAGAATATTTTTATGACTTCCTCAGACCCCACTGAGCAGGATCTCATCATCTGTCAGTACTGACAAGTTGAACAGAAAATATGCCATCAGCAGCACATGAGTTGGCTTTGTTGACATTTTAAAAAGCTACCACTCTTAACATCAATATATTATTTATAGAAAAATGTCTCAAACAGAATTTGTATGAAGACAGTGTGTGTGTGTGTGTGTGTGTGTGTGAAACAGATGATGCTTGTCCTTTAAGGCCACAGTTGTTTTCCACGGTGATGCCAGACGTTCCAGAGGCCCATTCTTGTCATGCCAACCTCATTACAGGGACGCTGATGAACAATCTGACACTAACAGAGAATGTCAACACAGCCACATAAACAGACATATCTGCTTAACCTTATGGCACTGCTGACCATACATTTCAGCGAACCCAACAACGCTTCTTTGTGTACCTGTGTTAACCATGTAATTTTATGCACAAAAAGAGAAGGAATCTGACGGAGACAGAAAGAAACCAAGCATGTGTGTGTCCACTGGTCTGTAGAGCTACATGCCGTACAGGTCTTCAGGGTCCATCTGGTTCCAATGCTCCACTCTCACACTGCTGGAACTAATCGTTGCTCTGAGATATGGGGCCACTGGCTGCACGATTGATGTCTTGTGGTGATGCTATCTGCCTGTGTGTGTTTGCTCGTGTTTGCGTTACAACAGTAATTTATCTTAAGCAAACGTATGCGTGTAAGCGCCCGCCTACTTGTGTCGGTCGTGGTGTGTGAAGGCTCTGGCCATGTCAGGGAGTTCTTCAAAGTGCTTCTTCTTGAGGAAGTCCTGGGCCACAGCCAGCATCAAACCCACGTCCACCTCAGGCTGCTCGCGCTCTGAGAAACATCGGCCCAGCACCAGCACCTCATGCTCGCAGAGACCGCAGTCCAGGCCCATCATCAGGCCCCTGTGGTGCATACAGGCACACACACTTGATACAAATAACACAAAAACTCCAATAGAATATCTCTTTACTTCCTTTTGTCACTTCCTCTCGTACTATTTACATCCTGTGAATTATTACTAGATATCATTTGAATCTTGACAAGTATCTAAGCTTTCTGCCATCTGTTTGATCAATAGATAATTACCATTATGATCACATCTTACATATGTATCAGGAGGAATTAAATTTGGGTTTTTGCTCCAACTGAGCAGACTCTGATCAGCCTCTGCAGTACATACCATTGCAAAGGGGACAGACTGAACTATACTTATTTTTGCTGTATTACCTCAGTGACTCATAAGGGATGAAGCCAGTGTTGTTGGGGTCACTGAGACTCAGAAACTTCCTGATCTCACTCTGTTTCTCCTCCGGGATGGAACGCAGTTTACTGAGGATGTTTCCCACGTTGGCTTTGGGGAACTTTAGACAGTTACAGACAAACATGCATCTTTAATCACATATTGCATTAAGTAATGCCAAAAAAAGATGACTGCTTCAGAGTAATTCACAGCTAACAACTGATGGTTTGGATTGTAGATCTGGTAAACAACCCCTGAACCAGACCACCACTATAAACAAGCTTGCGATACAAAACCTAACATAAACCATAGAAAACCACAGGAAACAAATATTCCTCCTTCATCTCCCTCCCTACCTCCACAGCATGTTGCTCCATATAGTTGAGGGTGTATTCATCAGCATCCAGAAGTTGGAAGTTCTTGTTGTTGAGGCAGAGGGTAGCTCCGACAAACAGATCCTGTGCTGTAAAGTACTCAGACAACTCGCTCTTAAACAGCTCCTGGCCTGGCTTTTTTACACGACCACGCTCCAGAAACTTACCGCCAAGCACACCTGGTGCACGATGTGTGAGAGAGGGAAGAATAAAACGGTTGGTAATTCTTAATTTTACTTATCATGTTGAAACATGAATGACTTTTTAAAAAACATTATTCAACAATAAACTTTGTTGACAAGTAACCTTGGTCCACAGTTTCAAAGCACCAGCATTTATTATTATTACATGTTGGCAATATGTTTTAATTTTTTAAATTAAATTCAAATCTAATTTGAGTCTAAACTCATATTGTTTCGTTTTACATAATTTCAACGGTTGGTTATCTCATTTGGACCCCTGCTGAACAGTCCTTGAAGGCATGACACACTATTCATCATGCACTGTAAAAACAAATACTGTCAAATATTGATTTACATTGGAAATATCTCCATCCCTGAAAAGCAGGTCTATGAACTTTTACGTCATCTGTTTCGCCCGTTTTCAAAAGATTCTGGAGATGGAAACTGAACCTGACAAACCTAATGTTTACCATGAGAGTCATAGATTTGTATCTCAAGTCCTAGGAGCAGTTCTGGTGCAGCTCTGTTCCAAGTTTATTACCTGAGTTCCTCTGTGGATGTTCAAACACACTAATGGAGTCATCGCAGAGGTGGAAGGAGATAATGAACACCCTCTCTTTGTCAACTGGATCGGTGGTCACCAACTTAGCACGGAAATTCAGCACATTACTCTCTAGGCCACACCTAGTGAGACATATACACACTAGAGTTGGGGGCTAACACTAACACACACAGACACAAACACTGCACTGTGTAATTTGATTGTGACTGTGACTACAACTCATCCAACCTGTCTTTCTGCATAAATTTGTGGAAATCCTTCTGTGGGGGTTTGGGCAGCAGGCCCTGGCAGGAACTCAGCGAGTCCTCCTCTGAGCCAAAGCCGTTGTAGGGGGGCACAGGCCTCGGGGGCTTGGGGGCTGGGGGAGCTTTGTACTGCACTGGGGTGAAGTCCTCTGAGAGGAGGAAGGAGAAAGAAAAGACAAAACACTTAAAAAAAGAAAGAAACCCAGGAGGAGAGCTGAAATGATCAGAGGGCAGCAGGTAATCCATCCATGCAGGAGCACAGCAGCATGGGTCTGACTGTAACCTCGAGCTGACCTCTGACCGCTCAGAGTCAGACAGGACCCTCCATCACAGTGGTCTGTCACAAGAAGCTCCGCCTGGGTTACTACTGTGACTAATGCAGCAAGCCCCAAAACCTGCCCATGGTGGCAGACACATCCAGAACCAGCTTGGGTTTCTCCTGCTGTGGAGCAGTGTGCCTCATGTGGTCCCCAGTGCCTTTAACTATGGAGGCATGGAGAAATACCAGAGCTGGAGGGCCAGAGTATCTTATGTCAGGCGGACAGTGGTGCTGAACTCTGTAACTGGTTCTTATATCCATTGACCAAGGAGTGACAGAGAGAACCAGAACATTATATTATATGTTTTTTTAAAGAAAGAAATGACTCTGAACATTTCGTTTGTATTGACTATATAGATAAACAAACTTCATCCTCTGAACAAAAGGTAGGAAGGTAAGAGCTCTTACTGGTGCTTGCTCTTACTGCCCCCAGGTGTTCAGATAAATGCATTGCAGACATAATATGAGCAACCAACAGAAGATTTAATCCATTCAAGTGTGCGACTAGTTAAATATCACACTGCCATTGGAAAAGGAATGTACATATTAGTTAAATATTTTGTTACATAAAATATTTATGTGTTGAAAAGACAAAACACTTTTAAAATCACTTTACTGTAACATCAGCATCCATCCATCCATCGTCAACCACTTAACATGCGTACATTGTCGAGGGGGGCTGGAGCCAATCTAACTGACATCGGGCGAAAGTACACTTCTATCATTTTTATCAATAATTTAGTCTATATAACATAAAAAACATGCCCTTTAAAATAAGGTTTTAAAGCTGCCTATTTTGTCTGAAGAAACAGTACACACCTTTGTAGCAATGCTGAAATAAAATGACCAACAACAAAATAGTATTGGTTACCTATGCCGTATTTGGAGCGGTAGTAGTCTTTGGTAAAGTCATCGCAGTCGACGATCACCACTCTCCTGCCCCACACGTTCACCTCTGCACCTACAGTCAGATCACAGTCCTTATAAAACTCCTCATGGACAGCTCCTGTCTGCAAGACAGAGGGAAGAAACAGGGGAGAAGGAGATGAGTGAAAGACCTGAGACATTACTTGTTAAAAATTTTTGACATACATGCACTGCTGGTAATAAACCCGGGGGAGTCCAACTTTACTCTTTAGTTTCAGTGAACGTGTTCAGGTTGCAGACAACATGCACTTCACACTTTTGTAAATATTTAATGTTATTGTGTACTCTATGATGTGTATTGTACTGAATATTGTCTATTGGCAGGGAAAGCCAAAGCACTTATTTAAGTATTTTGATGCATTTTTAATGCACATGACAATAAAGTTGAACATGTTCAAGCTTGCCTAATACAATATATGGCCAAAATTAATATGGGAATAAATATTAGTTGATTATCGATAAGTTGTTAACTTTTTTCATAATCCATTAATTGTTTTGAGTCATTCTTTAAGAAAATAAGTTTCAGATTTCAGTTTCTCAAATGTGAATATTTCCTGATTTTTTCACTCTTCTCTGACAGTAAACTGAACATATTTGGGTTGTGGACAAAACAACACATTAGAGGACGTCATTATGGGCTTTGGGAAACACACAATCGATATTTTTCACCATTTTCTGACACTTAATGGACCAAATAACTAATCGATTAATCACGAAAATATATACTATATCAGCCTCCACTCTTGTGGGAGGGAGGGGGGGGCATAGATGTTGAACAGACCTAAAGTTGCATTAAAGTGATTCATGTGATGGCATAAACAAAAAAAAGGGTTCTGATGCAAGCCAGGCCATTTGGCTAAACTGAATCCACTGTTGCTGGAATCAGGGAACTTGAACTTGTTTTGGCTTTAAAAGGGGGGCGTAAAAAAAAACAAATTGAGAACCAATGCTTTATGGTTTTGTGCACAGGGGAAGCAATTTGCAAAGAACGGGCATTAAATGCTGTAGCATTAAGATGATTGAATTTGAAATTGAACAAAACTTTACCTTAATTAGACAAGGGTGTCATTTGGCCAAACAGAATAGCTTGTTTTAGGCTTACTGTCAGTATTGCAATCTCTGACCTACACTACAGTCTCACCCACTACACCTGACACCTGAAATATCATTCATTCTTTGATTTTTTATTTTGTTTGCAGTGTGAGCATGGCTGAGACAGGACATACTTTGAGGTTGTCCAATATGAAGCGTTTTTCCTGTTTCGTGGAAGCAAACACGTTGAGCACTGTGCGGGCCGTGATCTCTCCAGGCTGCTTTATTTGGGTTGGAGCACGCTACAGAGAAATGAAAAAAACAACCACAGGAAGGAAAAGGCAGAAACTGTTACACAAGACACATCATACAAAACATACAGAACCGGGAACCATTCTGCATTAAAACATGGACGCACAAATCTGGAGAGAGTGATGGAGAGACCAAAAGACAGAAAGAGAGAGAGAGAAGAAGGCAGACTAATAAAATAATGAGTCAAAGTAAAGAAGTGATCTGTCCTTAAGGACGTGGTGATTTCCCATTGGATGGTGGATTCTGGTCAACCTTTAGGGCTGACATTTAATAAAAGGCATCAGAACAAACAAAATTACTGGACTGACACACACACACACACACACACACACACACACACACACACACACACACACACATAATTGAGCTCTGGCTGTCTTTCAAGATTAATTAGGCTTCAGTCAGTAACTGGAGGAGAAAGCCAAAAGGCTTGGGGGAGACTGGATGCTACAGCAGCCCTGTCAGATTGAATGAGGTCTCAGTGAAGGGAGGGATGGTGGAAGAAAGATGAAAAGAGGTCACCCAACTAGAAAGAGAGGCACTGGAAGCCTCTTGGCTTGGAATAACCATCTATTAATGTAAAACTTGCTAATGGACATGAAAACTGAATGCACTAAATGTGCGAGACAAGCTGTGAAACACACTCTGCTTCATTCATGTACTCCCTAAATGTTCCTCACCACCACTCAGAATTTATCATGGTTTCTGAATTTTCCCTTCCTTGATAAAAATGATAGTTCTCTTCTCCACTCCCATAGCCCAGAGACCTTTGAACAGATCCTTTCATTATGCCTCACCTTAGGTAGTTTGCTGCGGCGTAGGAATTTAGGCATGCTATCTCTCCCAGAGTTTGGGGCGATAATTTCTCGGATCTCTATTGTGTCATCAGCCAGGAAGTAGTGCAGTATGAGCTCCCGCGGGTCACCGAACACACTCTCTGTGTCGTCCCAGAAGCAGTAGAAGCGCAGGACTTTGCGGTCATGGTCCAGGAACTGCTTCAGTGTGTCACACCTCTCGTACGGCCTGTGTGGCTTCATACTTTTCTCAATCTGGACAAGGGGTCATGTGAAATATGAATTAATCATCTTTGCTTTTCTGTTTTCATTTGAAAATATGTAATGTATAATAGTTTCTGTGAATTCTATGATTGTTATTTTAATTACAATGCCTAAAAAAAGAAACCAGAATAAAAAAATAAAAAAAACAAGATTAAAAACAAGGCCTGACTCTGATGCCTACCTGTTCCCGAAAGTTGCTGTAGGGGTCATCAGGTACAGTGGCGCAGTCGTTTAGGCGCACCCCAAGTTTTGTGAGAAAGTTCTTTGTAAAAGAGTCACAGTTGGTCACAGTGAAAGTGCGTGAGTACAGCACCATCTGTTGGTTGACGTTGAAATGGTAAATGTTGTAGAACTGGTCATCATCTGGGGGAGGCAGTGGGATACGCTGGCGATGAATAAGTGTTCCTGTCACAAGGAACAACAACACAGCAACGATGAGTGACAGGTATTCAAGTGCTCGTCATATCTCAGTTAAGTTTATTGTCTGTTTACTTTGGGTAATGGCTTATTTAGCCAGTTGGAATTGTGAATGTAGAAAAAGTACATGAAAATGAATTCATATTTTCAGTTTTCATTTGAGCGAGACAGTTCCTGTGATATCACAGACACCTTGAGGAATGCCACTGTTCTTGTACTCTGGCTCCACCACCTGTATGGTATCATCTTCCAGGTAGAAGTAGATCTTACACTTCCTGATTCTGTATGTCTCATCTCGTGCCTCAGGCACAGCTTCCTGACAGTAGGCTTCAAAACACAGAGCCTGGAGGGGCAAAATGGCATTTTATGAATGGGATTAATCAAATTAGGTTAGATAAGTTACATAACAAGATCTTTTTAATGACTTAACAAACGTTAATTACTGTTACTGTAGCAACTAAACTGACCAGTAACGTAATAATAAACAACTGAAAAGACATTTCTGAAGAATTTGCGGTATGAATGCTGACGCTAAACTGCATTGTTGGCTTTAATTTGCATGAAGTAGTTGAAGGACTGTGAAGACGTGGAAACATAGTGACTGTTCTACATAATATTAATAAGAGTTTACATTTGAATAAACCTCATATCGCACTAAAAGATTTAGAACATTTCAAGGTGTGAATGAAGTTTCTTGCTGAAAGATATGAAATGTGCAGCGTTGGTAAAAAATGCTTTAAACTAAACTAACTAATAACATTATAATAAACAATACAGAACACTTACTCTTGCTGTATATAACACCTTTAAAGAGACAGCTAAATATGTGTTGGAATTTGTTTGAATTAGGCATGATGTCAGTCCATACATATATCCAGTAGTCCATACAACTGGTATGGACAAACGTGTGTGTGTGTAGCCAGGGATATAAAACTGATCCATTTCGAGACAGTTCACCTGTTTGTCAAAGGCTACCCATGACGGTAAATCACTGCCCTGTCCTTTGGGGTAGACAGAAAACTTTGGTTTAATCTTCTGACCAACTAACAGCTCTCCCCCAATGCCTGGCTTCTCAGATCCCACCAGCATAGGGACTCCATTGGAATAGTCAAAATGTTGGGATTTGTGGAATCTCTCCTTCCCTAGCTGTAGCACAGAAGAGAAAAAAGAACCTCTACTCAGCTTTCAAACATGACACATATCACTTTATATGAAACGCATACTACGGTATACAATCATAACATCAACTAATTATTTAACTTAGCAAGCAGTCATGTATGGGCAATTATAAAGTATATAAAAAATTATCAAAAACAACGAACAATTACGTTTCAGATTTTTCATTCAGTATTATGAAGCTCATAAAAATTTTGGCGAGGCGAGACACCACAGAGATATCACAATGAAACTTCACAACCTAAATGTATACATAAATAGAAGCTGTTTTTCAATTACAACTTTTATGTTTTTTTTATTTATTTTTTTGGTTTATTGTGATAATATACCAAATGGTCAGACATTTACAGAATGGTTTATCAAAAAAATGTTCTTTTCATGGAGTTATTATATATGTGAAGGACGCTTTTTCCCCACACATATTTACAGATAAAATGAGAATGATAAAAGATATATTTAAAAAAAAAAAACTCTGTAAATGTCTTGCTGTAAGACCTAAGAAATAGTGTGTAAAATTATGATGATCTAACTGCCTTGAAAAGCAAGGAAAATGACTTGGCCTACAGGAAACGTGTCATTTTGAGAAAACATGCTGTTAAAGATCCTAGATAACCATAATAAAAACACTTTGTCACATGAACACATGTCTTATAGATATATGATATATGGACTAGCGAACATTGTGCTCTAGAAAACAAGCTTTCAAATGATTTGATTCAATATGGACAGTTTTAAATAAACCATTTCAACTTTTACATGGAAAATACTAACAAAGATTGGAATAAAATAGTAAAATAAAAATGTTTCTATATTATATTTTGTACATTTTATGGAAGTATGGTAATAAAAGATGCTAAATAACTTGCCTTGCTCACTGAATTGCTAAAAACATAGCTTTAGCTCAGGAGCTAGCCTGCTTACCTACCAGAATGTATCTAGCCCTAGCTGACCTGAGCTCCAAACATTTTATATACTAAATATAGTAATCTTACTTGTTTATTGGGAGAATTCCCGGGTAGAAATGGTAAAGCCATGGCTGTAATACTTTAAACAGGTCGAGTATTTTCTTGAGACAACTCAGCTGTTGAGTTTCAATGCTCTGTTATTCGTTACCATGGAAGCGTTTTGTTTGGGGCGTTTCATTAGCAACATCCCCAATGGACGGAGCTAATTAATAATTAATTAATAGCTCCTTTTGTTACGGACGCTGCCAGCCCGGGAGTTTATAGCTGAATTAAAATTAATTAATTAATCATTGAGATAAAAAGGTGCAAAATGCATTTAAGCAGGTATACTTCCCCAAACAATGACGAGTCTTGTGTGTTGACTCAGCATGTAACATGTTCATTCTGGCCTTTTTTTATGTTACCATATCTGTAAACTACAGAAGCACATACTTTAATTTACTCTTTAATTATGGGCTCCTGTGGTAGAACTCCAGGTGAAGAGGGTAAAATAAAATTACTAATAGATATTACCGTGAAACGTTCCAAGTTGATTACTTAGGTCTACATTAAGACAACACTTTTTACAGGTTTTCTGAAATATGTTTAAATATGCAAAAAAGGTCATTAAATATGCACTAACTCGCATATATTTCAAGAACTGGAATCTGAACACTGGATTAAGTAAAAGTTGATTACGGTTTCATTTTGTTGACATTTTAGATTTTAGACTTTGGATATCTCTTTTTATAACTCCATAAATGAGAAAACACTGTCAACAGGCTAATAAATCAATCTTGATGTTGTTTGGGAATACAATGTTATAGGCCTACAATTCAGGCTATGATTTTGTGATTAACAAACCCCTCTGTGAAAACATTCATATTGTAGTTAATACTTGTGGATAGTTTGGTGTATTTAAGAGCTCAGTTGTGGATTTCAGGCTAAGAGTATGCGGAAAAACTAAATTTGATATTTGCAAGGTGAATAGTAAACAATTGGACCTAACAGATATCAACGTCAAACTTCCCCGGCTGATTACTTACAAAAAGACAATTATTCTTTGTATTTCAAGTTTTCTGACATGGCCTTATCTAATGCTAACTTGTGGTGAATTTAGGAGAAAACAGCACACGCAAATAGACAAGAGTAGTAGTAGAAGAGTAATAAAATAAACACCTAAATGTGTATTTTTGCCGTGTTCTTTCCACTAGTCTGAAATAAGACATGTTGTGGAAGCAAATTATCCCAAAACCTTAAAACTGACAAGTGCTTGAAAAAACTTGTTTTTTTCCCTGTAGTGTCTCATCTTGAGCGAAAGTAAAACTAAGCTCAGGTAATAAATGCATCACATGCAATGACTCATGGTCAGGAGTCCAACTGCATACTTGTACCATTGTACATAAACTGTCATAAAATAAATGAGAAACAATTCAAATGATTGTTATATTTTATGTTGTTCATCAAACTTACATATTAGGCGAACCACAGCATTCAGTAACTAAAGCATCAATGTACTGCTAAACAACATACATTTAAAAAAAAAAAGAAAAAGAAATGAAGGGCGGGCTGACATAACCCATCACACATGTATCAAATCTAAAAAAGGCATACAATCCCATATATCTAACAGCACTTTAATCCTGAAGATGATTGATTATAATGTTTGGAATTGAACAATACAACACTGGCACTGAGGGAATCCTATGGACACCATCTGTGAAGGTGAATTTAAACACACTTAGCTGCGTTGTGCTTGGCTTAACTTTGCACAACAAAGCAGCAATAACAATCTTTCATTGTGGTACAAAATAAATAAATACAAACATCACAACATGCTGATAGCCTTTACATTGTTTTAATTAATTCTGTGTGACATATGTCATTATTTGACCTGGGAAGTGGAGTATTTTAAGAGGTTCATCCTGGTCCAACCAAGAAGTCCCACATCACATGAACATGTCGTCATGTGACGCGTCATGATGCGGTACGGTATTAAAAAAGGAAATGCAGCTTATGTAGAAACACATAGTTACAAGCTAATCTGAATTGGTTGCTTGCTGTCAAAAGACTTATAAACCTTCCAGCAGTGATTTATTACTTTCCCCTACAGTTTTTCATGACATCAAAGAAATACAGACTCTTTTCCTTTGGCAGACCCTAAGATGCCAGGCCGAGCAGGAACCCTCCGATGAAACCACTTGTGACAACGATGTTTTTCTTCACAAACTCTGTGGACTGAAAAAATACACAAAATATGTTTCAGTATATTAAGTATCCACTCCAGACGGACATTAATTCACAGTGAAATGCAATATTGCTGAATTAACATTTTAAGCTGTTATACTTTTTTCTGATTCTACAACACATTTTTAAAACCTGAATCACATAAAGAGAACAGTGCAACATCAAGCTGAATCTGATGTACGACAAGGATGACTGAAAAACCAGCATGCTAGTTACTACAAATGAGTACAGACATTTTACAGTCCAATTAGCTGCACTGATGAAGTTGTAAAGTTTTCTTTTGTGGCACTTTTGACTTTAACAACTTTGATACTGGCAGGAAACATGGGGATAAAGAGAGAGGGGTATGGCACACAATTAAAGTCTCAAAATCAAACCAGGGACATTGTGGTGATTTGCAAAGTGTTTTAACCACAAGGCCACCAGGATATCCCAATTCTCTTATTTTCAATTGTGATGGAAGGGTGAAAAATATTCTTCAAGACTGATATGTGAAGTTCTGATTGGCCTTTGTGTGACTGACAATCAAAAATCCTACCTTCTCAAAAAATGTGTTTAGCTCTGGGCCTGCTTGATTGGTGCCCTTCTTTAATTGCTTCTTAGCTTTGTTGACATCCTTCTCTACTCTCTTCCAGTCCACCTGGATGTAGCCACTGTTGTTAGCTATCTGGAGAAAGAGTCGGGGAAATTGAAAAACAGGTGAGAGGCAGATTCATCAAAATGTTTTTTTATTCTGTTTGAAAAGCTTAACCCATGTGTGTTTATGCCTGGAGATGCAAGAATACCTGCAACAGCAGAAGACCTCCTCCTACAGATGTAGCAGCAACTTTTCCAACCTTCTGGAAGAGATATCCTGCACACCTAAAATGAATCAAGACAGAGAATGAAGTTCAATCCAACATAAATTACTTCAACTGTCTTTAAAAGTACCATACAGTTAGCAAAACAGTGACTGGCTCAACTAGGCCATTGTTTTTCTACGATACCCCAAACGCACAGTATAAAATTTAAGGGTAGAAAGCACGTAATTTGTTTTATTGAAGCATCAGCAGCATGAGTGTATAGTGTATTTTCTCCCACATATTCTGCTGACGCAGCACTCTCCATCCAGACAGCAGTGTTTTTGTTATGCATCTAGTCTGTTGCACCAGCTGTGTGTAAGTTCAAACTTAGCCTAGTTGTAAATGATTACTAAGTTGTGATTTATGCATTACTAAAATAAAAGCGGTTGCGCCACAGAGCAAGCATCCTCACTGGAAACATCACAAACTGGAATAGGATGTGCTCGGCCCAGAACTGGAGGGCTCTGCAGCAGGTCATTAAAACTGAAGATCATTAGTACCCATCTCCCGAGCGTCAGCGATATCTGTGAGGTGCTTACAGAGCCCAAAGGATACTAAAGGACAGTACCCACCCAGCCACAGCCTGTTCACCCTGCTGCCTTCTGGGAAAAGATACAGAAGTATCTGCTGTCGTACCACTAGACTGCAGAGCAGCATCTTCCCATATGCTATAAGACTTTAAACTCTAATTAATCTGAGCACTGCTTCACTGAATTGCAAAAAAAAAAAAAAAAAAAACTGCTTATGTATCACTGTATATTATCTGCTATGTAACAGAAGTTCTATCTCCTAGAAGTTACAACGTAACTCTTCATAATAACTAAATTGTTACTCACGCCCCACAGGTAAATCATAAAATATCACAGAATTTTACTAACTAAGGGTAAAACAGACGTTTTTCTGCCACACAGCATAATTTTTTCATTAATTGCATGTCATTTTCATCCAGTAGAGACCTAATTTAGTTCTATTTTTCCATATCGTTTTAGCTTTACTACGAAGTGCTGTCAGAAATAGGGCTGAACGTTTTTGGAAAAAAAAATACTTGTCATATTGGAGGAAATTCATCATCATTATTCTCATTTTTATTGATAAACATATTTCAATGATTAAGGTTTGATTTTTTGCAAGGATCTGTACCAAACAAAGATGTTTTCTTAAATAAATAAATATGATTGTTGACTTTACCTCCAAACTACTTAGGTTATGCACCAATTAACTGTGGTGCTTTTTTATACAGTCTACAGTGCAACAAATTTTAGTCAGTGATTTTGTTACAAACTAACTAGCAGTTACTAATAAGCCCCTAGCGTCTACTTTACACCCTAAATTAAAGATACACACTCCTGTCTACATCAGTGGAGCTGAAGTAGAGCAGGTGAACTGTTTTAGGTACCTGGAATCAACATCACAGAGAAGCTGACATGGTCATCTCACATCTCCATGCTGGTGAAGAAAGCTCAGAAACGACTGTATTTCTTGAGGAAGCTTAAAGAAGGCCAAATTCCCACGCCAAGTTCTTGTCAGCTTTCACAGAGGAGCAATAGAAAGCATCCTGACTGGAAACATCTAAAACTTTACGCCCAAACTAGTTAGGTTATGCACCAAATAATCGTGGTGCTTTTTTTATACAGTCTATGGGTGCAACCAGTGTTAGCAGCTGATTTAGTTACAAACTAACTAGTAGTTACTAATAAGCCTAGTGTACACTTTACACCCTAACTTGGGAGAGAACATAAACATAGTTGGTGCAGCCCAGTACCTGATCAAAACTAAGTGGGAGAGTCAACGAGGAGCACCTGAAGGAAGCACAATATTTACCATCCACTCACTCCCCCTATGGCTATCTGTGTGGCCACGGAGTATTTCTCTGCTACGGGGCCCGAGCTTTTTCCGAAAAGGCGGTTCCACCATCGCTGACGTTTGGCATATTCCGTCAAGTCTACGACCTTGTCGTAAATCTCCTCTTCCAGCTCTTCACACATATGGGAAAAAATAAAAACAGTCAGCAAACAAAAGCAACGTCAACAACAACAGGTTGAACGCTCTAGTATCACATGTTCACGTTTCAAAATAGCAGAAGAAGCTAAGGAGAAACCCACCGTTAGCTGCTATAGGAACTTAGGAAAGTTCTTAGGCCTGATAATAAGTTAGCATGACAGACAAGTGAA